AACAAAAAACGGCCTGTACCTATGAGGGTCATAGTAAAGTGAGTTTCTACGTGCATCCCACGCTTTACATCCCTTCGACTTTCTTTATATATCCTAGGAAAAGGAGCCGGGATAGCGCAGTCGGTATAGTAACTAGCTACCGGCTGGACGACAAAGGGGTCGGAATTCGAATCCCGGTGGGGGTAAGAATTTTCACTTCTGCACGTCGTTCAGACCGGCTCTGGTGTCCGTCCAACATCCTATCCAATGAGTACAGGGAGCTTTACCCCCGGAGGTAAAGTGGCCGGGGCGTGAAGCTGACCACTCACCTCCAACTAGTGCTGAGGTCAAGAAAACATGGGTCTATACATCCAATCCAGCATACGCCTTCATGGCGTAGTGTTTAATTAGTTAAGTAGAGGAACAAACCTTTTTACCTTTAGGACCGAAAGTATGTATGTACATAACCTAAACGTCATCAAGTCCACAAGCCAAATATAAAGACAGCAAATGCAAGTACAACGGTGAAGTGAGTAAGAATGTTGTTCAGAATACTGGCAACGCGGGATACCAGTTAAGAGCTTTAATTTATATGACAAAACGTATAGCAACACTTGAGGGCAATCCGCCAAATGTCTTCCTTTCTTTTTACTCAGTGGTTAAAGTAAGTTACTAAAAGGTTCAGCGGAAAGAAAAGGAAGTGGCATACAAAATGTCGGAAAACAGCAAACAACATGTTTAAAAATTCAAATTCAGTTAAAATCACAATGTGGAGTGGCTTCATTTTCACTGTAGCATTGTAACCAATCACCTGAGCTACCTCGATCATCCATTAACAAGGTAAAATTGTCCATGTGTTTAACTAACTAAGAACTATGCCATGAAGGCGTATGGAGGAGTGGACGTATACGTGTAGTTCCACGTTTTCTTGACCTCCATACTGGAGGTACACTCCATTTTTGTATACAAAATGGTGTAAAGGTAAATTTCTGCCTGAGCTCCAGCAGACCCCATCATTCACTAATTTGTCCGTTTAAATGGGACTGTATCGTTATTACTCATGAATTATCATGTAAACCTTTCGTAAATTGACTTTAATATTATGTATCATCTGAAAAACATACATTTCAATGTTTCTCATTCAATAAATAATTTCCAGAGCATTTAATTGTGTATAAATTTGTATTGTGACATGTATAGCCACTGCTAGGCAAGGACTAAGTAAACACATTTCCGTGGGAGCCAACGCGTGCAACAATAGGACGTATACTGCTAGGCACTGGATCAGCAAACACGCCTCAAATAATACGGGATAATAGATGATGGTGTTTTCCGTGGAGTCCGCTCCGAAGCTATTTAACGAGAAGTTCCAAGGGAGCAGTTCTTAGGATGTTCTCCGTGTGGAGATGGGGTCGAATACCTCCACCGTGACCGTGCGAGTCGTAGGAGGCGACGAAAAGGGTATTCTCAAATCTGAGATAGTAAAATGTGGTCGCGAGTCCCAAGGGACTCAGACCCGAAAAAAGACTGCTGGCAAGGGCCAGAAGCATATACAAAAGACAGACGCGTCCTCTCTACAGATAGGTCGCCCCACAAAAACAACACCGTAACTGTCAAACAGTAATAAATATCTGGTCACAGGCCCAAGATGGGGCTCGACACCAAGACTTATTGACTGACCGTCAGTCGCAATGTCACTTTGACTTTGCCTTGAGCAGTTTTAGTTGTTGTCGAGAATTTTGTCGAGCCTTCGGAATTGGCAGTTGCAGAGTAATGACAAAAGGAATTAGGCTGTGAAAAGAAGACTTCATGTGTGATTTGAAATGATAGTGAGACTATTACAAATCCGTTGCCAGGATACAACCTAGTGTGTGTGTAACTCTGAAGTGTAAAGTGTGTATATCACCGATAGCACCATAATTGCCTGTAGTTCCGAGTTGAATGTATAAGGTATCAATCAACCCAATCTTCATATCCAAAACCCCGTCTATAGACACCCCTACACGTGACAGTATGTTGCTTAAGGTTTTATTTATTATTATTATTATTGGAAGGGGGTGGGTTTCCCCATGCACCGCGACTAATAGTCTATTGTACGTCCCCCTTTGATATTCTACCAGTCGTCATACCCTACCGGTACTGGTGCGTGCTATCAGCCCCGTTCAGCCAACGAGGTCGGCCCTCGGTACCTTGATACTTCCCCCATCTACCAGGGGCATTGAAAACTACTTCGGGGGGAAACTTGCCTAATTTTGCTCAGAGGTCTCCTAGAGACATGAGGATCTTTTACGTGCCGTAAATCTATGACACGGGACCCAGGGCTTGAAGTCCCTCCCGGAGGACTTGTTCCCTTAATTTTTCCGCCCTTAAAAATTCCACCCGCGTACCTTAAGTCATGAGGTGGGAACGTTACCCCTGGACTACGGAGGCCGCTTTGCTTTAGGTTAGTGTAAAGGGTAGGACGACGGAGTAAAATGAAGCCATCGGTGGCAAAATAACAATGTCTGCGATAAACAATGTTCTGCAAAGGAAACAAAGAAGAAAAGAAAGGAACCGTTAGGATATGAAAAGGAAAAAGGTATGAAACTGCAAATGAGATGAGAGAATATTTCAATATAGAAGGGCCGCAACAGATCGGAAGATCCTCCCTACGAAAAGTGGATTCAATGCACTATTTAGTAAGGGTGCCTGGCGCTAAGTTTGCTCCATCTGTGAAGACATAAATTTGTTTAAAAGTTATTATTATTGTATCGTCGGCTTGTTCAAATACGGGTTACGAATTTATTCAAGGTGTGAGATAACTAACTAAACTAAACTAACTTCATGCAGCTGAGACCTTCTTGAGAAGCCGCCAATTGTGTAGCTACTCAAGAACATCCCAGCATTTTATGGAACCCGCAGGTTCGTTACCGTATGGACTGGATCGATCTGGCTGAGGATAGGGACCAGTGGAGGGCTCTTGTGTACACAACCTGCGGGTTCATTACCGTGCTCACACGAGCCCTCCACTGTTCCGTATCCTGAGCCAGATCGATCCAGTCCATATGATCCCATTCTATCACTCTAAGTTTCGTTTTAATATAGGGGGGTTAAAAAAATGTACTTACTCTTTGATAGTCAATATCATGTAGTTACAATTCTTGCGCGATGGTGTAGTGTAATGGTTTCTCAACAGATGACGAAGGTCACATGAGTCACGTGAGTGTCGTGCCGCGTTCATGCTGCGAGCAGAAGACAGCAGCAACAATGGCTGAAGGGTTGTTCTTTGAGCAACGCAAGGCTGTGTTAAGGTGGTACTGGAAGTACGAAAACATTAAAGAAGTACAACGACAATGGCAGAATGAGTTTGGAACTCAGCTACCAACAGCTCCTGTAAATCCACACGTTCACGTGGGCAAGGAAGTGAATCTATCGGGTGTTAATGTGTGGTGTGGTCTGTAATCGCGCGGTTTGATTGGTCCTTTCTACTTTGAAGGTACCGTAACTGGTCAGGTGTATCTCGATATGCTTCAGATATCGATTTTCCCTGCCATTCGAGAGCTGTTTGGAGATGAGAGATTTTACTTACAACAAGATGGTGCTCCACCTCACTACCATCGAGATGTCAGGGCGTACTTGGATGACACTCTACCTGGACGATAAATAGGTCGAAGAGGGGCTACTGAGTACCCACCACGGTCTCCAGACCTAACACCTCTCGACTTCTACCTATGGGGAACCTTGAAGGATGAAGTTTATCGACAAACGCCAGCTACACTGAACGCGCTACGAGAAACCATCGAAGCGTCGTGTGCAGCGATCACACCGGACACACTGACAGCCGTAGTTCGCTCAGCAGTTCGGCGGCATCGACGCTGTTTAGCCGCTGATGGTGGTCACTTCGAACACATATAATGTCTCTCTCTCTCCGCGCAAGAATTGTAACTACATGTCATTTTGTTCCAAAGATACTGACTATCAAAGAGTGACCCCTCTGTATTGTTCACCCACCTACGTCTTGGTTTTCCTGCCAGTGTCCTATAGGCATTCCTCTTCTCCCCCATTCGTGCTACATGCCCCGCCGACCTCATCCTCTTTGAAGGGTGTGAGATGACTAAAATGCGAAATTAACTTAAATATTGCCTATTTTTGGGGCAAAGTAAACTCAAAAGAGATCTTGCACATGTATGTCACCTACATCAGTAACTTAAACCTCTATAAATAATGAAATCAGACAAAGATTCCAATGTGTATGCTTCGTTCTCATAAATTTACATCCATGCTTTGAGTGGGATCCAAACCCATAATCACAGTGTTCGAGCAAGCGAAGACATTTGATATCTTGGACCGCGCGACCACTGTGACCGGCCAGCGTTAATATGCTACACCCTATATTCGCAACCATAGTGCCACAATAAATAAGAAATTTCATTATTTCTGTAAAGTTTAAGAAACGCTTGCAAGAAGAACTGACGCTTTCGCTAGTCATAAATGTGTAATTACTTTCTGGTTATCTCCCATAGACGCTGTTCAATATTCACATATAACGACTGACCATAAAACAAGCTCTGAGATATTAAGCTACTTATGGACTTTGAAAACGCATCTGATCAAAGTGTTTGGTTTTAACGGCTCAAGAGGCTTTGTATGTCTGCATAGTAACAACACTCAGTAAGTAAGATTTAAAAGTTTGTGACGATGGCACACAAGTACAAATATTATATTTCGTCCTGTCTTTATCTAAAAACACCGTCCTGTTTACATTTCAAGACAACGTTTCAGAGACTGAATTCTGTCTCCGGTCCGAGTAAGGACTAGCTGTATCGACTGGGCTCAACTGAGTAGGCTTTACCAGAAGACGGAGACAATCTAGTCTCCGAAACGTTGTTTTGAAATACAAACAGGACGACTTTTTTAGATAAAGACAGGACGATGTGTAATATCCAGAAACATAATATTTGTAAAAATGTTCACACCCACATATTTAAATTTGCATTTTTACACCCCATAGTTCATGTGTTGATGAACCTTTGTCAAAATAGGTTGCGACGACGGGCGCTGAACAGAAGTGACCGACTGAGGTTTAAAGCTTTCATACCATATATCAGCGCAGAAACTTATCACCGGAAGCGGTCTCTATCCATCCTGTTTCCAAATCACCGTTGCAGAATGTCGCAGCAGAGTGGAGGGTCGCAGAGACGAAGCACAGGCACCGCAGTCAAGTCGCAAAACCATTTTAACTCCACAAGAAACTTTATGGAGATGGGACGCCTGAGCGACAGCGTGCTGGATAAGCAGAAGGTACGTGTCAACCACGATACAGGCTATTCGTGACTGAACATGTATATCTTCCGGGATATAACGCTGTGTAGTCCTATAAAATTCAACCGACGTTTCGGAGGAACATGTCACCTCTATCTTCAAGGTCAAAGAGTAAGCAAGGAAAGAAATCATCAAGAAGAACGCGGGATGCATAACATGCTACATGTTTAATGCTGTTTCTTGCCTGGCTTACTCTTTCACTCTGAACATACTGGAGATACGGTGCTCAGAAACGTCGGTGGAATTATATCGGGGTACATGAGGATATGTCCAAGGACAAATTATCGCTGTGAAAACCTCAAAACCAAGTAATCGTGATTGATCCTGACTGGAACAGTGAATTTCCACAACATTTTGAGATCCTTTGGGCACAGAAGCATGGGGGAAGCATTAATTTCAGGGGAAGAGGACTCATGTGAGATGAAAGAAAATATTAAAGCGAATCTTACGTGAAAAAGACGGGTTGAAATATGAAACGGCTTTGGACAGGTTCAGCGGCTAGCTTTTCGACCATTAAATCGAATCGTTCGGATTACTACATTTCAAATAAAAATATTTAATTTTTAGTAAAGTTATTTATTCAAAAGATGTATAGGTACATTTTGTACATAAACATAGGCGAACGTTCGTCTACACGAAGAGATCCGGGGCAAGAGGTAACTGGGTTACACTTTTCATCACTCAGATAGCGAGGTCCGTTGACACGTAATATTACGTGTCACATGAGTTCACTTTTACTGCAAGGGTGTGAAATATATTAAATTAGGAATTTCTGGAGGTGCCGATTTGTGTGTGTGTACTGTCAGTTAGGATTACCGAAATTTCCCTGTATTCACCTTTCCCTGGATGAAAATCCACGGGTGTTCACGCATGTTACTTTACCAATTTCTGGGGTACACGAAAATGACGCCTGCGGTTACAAACAAGGACGGACGTGAACGGGAGCAATAATTTATATTTCACAGTACTGCTGCAGAATTTAGTTATAGATACAAAGAGGAAAAATCATGAAAACCTCAGAACAGCCGACTTCTTGTCCGAGGTTCGGAGAAACCAATACATTGCTATGTTAGCATCTAATTCATTACGGTGAGAAGCACAGAATTACGTGTTGTCTCAGAATAGCTGAGCCACATGGACGCAACTGCATCGTGTCAGTTCCCACTAACAACGCGTCATGTCCTAAGAATTTGTTCCTGATGAGGCTGGAATAAGTGAGAGGGTAGTTGAAATAAAACGCGAACATAAGTTCTAACACTCTCCTTCAAATGCCTAAGTCTACATGGTAAGGCTAGAAAATAATCAAGAAATACACAACTTTACTGTCCACTTTTCGCTAGGATTGATTCCTAATACATACTGTGACATGCAGATCCATCGCCAAGTAACAGCTGTTTAAACAGGCGACAGTAGAATAGCAGTTGCTAGGAACAGTTCTGTGGACATGTTATATCCCTGGCAACGAGAGAAAACGCAAATAATGAAAGAAACGTTTTCTGTGAGGTCTGTGCCGAGGGTTTATAACGAGAACTAGTAGTACGGTCCTCGTCAGGACTGACGGAGGCCGTGTAAATATTGTACATTTATATAAGTATGTATTGCAAATATGTGTAAATACAGACAATGGACAAATTACTACAGACTGACTAACAAATGACAGACCCGACCTCTCGTCAGAGAGGGCGCTACACATGGACAGGACAGTAACTTTCATACAAAAGAAATATCTGGTCATGAGCCCCAGCTGGGCTCGACACCAAGACAGACAGACTGACTGACCGTCAGTGGTAACGTGACTCTGACTCTGGTCCTCGTCACCCCCGTGTGGAGGCGGGGTCGAATAGCTCCACCGTGACCCTGTGAGTCGTAGGAGACGACGAAAAGGGAAGTCTCAAATCTGAGACAGTAAAATATGGTCGCTTGTTCCAAGGAACTCAGACCCGAGAAAGGCTGCACTGGCTAAGGCCAGCATCATACACAAAAGGCAGACCCGTCCTCTCGTCAGAGAGGGCGCCCCNACTGACTGACCGTCAGCCGCAATGTGACTTTGACTTTGGTCGAATACCTCCACCGTGACCCTGCGAGTCGTAGGAGGCGACAAGCCATATGCCAACCTCCAGTTTACCACTCCACTGACATCTCTATTCTGAGAGACAACATTACTTTCTATTTCTTGCTAGTCTCACTATATTGTGGCATACAGACCCATTACTAAGCAGTGACTCTCAACAGCAGCCATCGCTAGGTAATGCCTGAAACACACATGCAACGCAACAACTGAAGAACCGTGTTTTCTGAGCCCCTGGATCAACAGTTGCTATGCAACGGTGTGGTAAACATGCCTCTACAACAATACAGGGGCTGTGTTTTCTGTGTGGTCCATGCCTAGGAGTCATCCTGAAGATAACTGGGGTGACGAGTTGAGTTCTGTACGGGAGGCTGTGAAGAAATAAGTTAATCGCAAGAGTGCAGCTGTGATGAGAAGACATTTGGAGTATGTAATTCAATGAGACTGTTACAGGTCCTGTGTTAAAATCTGTTGCCAGTGAACGGGTAGTGGAGACTGTAACAGATTGAGGATACTAGTCTGTGTGTGTCAGTGATCTGTAAAGTGTACTCACGAGCTGTGAGTGTGTAAGTGGCCAATAAATCTAGTCACCAATCCAAACCCCAACTATAGTTACCCCTATATGTGACAATATAAACTGAAGCATTTCAATAAAAGCAGATTTCAAGGAAAGCAGACTGAAAGTGTTTATATCCTAAAATGTATACAAGACAGAACCTTCTTTTCTCATTTTCTCCATAATTTTTTCAGTTATTCAGTATATAACTTGTCAGATACACATATATACAAGGTAGTTCAAATATGACCGGGACTGATTTGTGTGTAAACAAGCCGCACTGCACAGCAGCTGTGTGACCTTAAGAGAGTGAAGCCACAACCTCCACCCTCCCTCCTGTTTGGGTTAGAACCTGTTCAGTCCTGTCTGGGAATTGCTAGAGTGATGAGCAAACAGAAGGTACCGCAGAGCATGCAACAACGCATTGTGATCAAATTCCTCATTGGAGAAAATGTCCCATCTGCTGAAATTCACCACAGACTCCAGCAAAAGTATAGGGAAGAGTGTCTCTCACAGACCCATGTGTGTGAGTGGTGTAAGTGCTTCAGAGAGGGCAAAGAGCACGTGGAGAATGAACCGCATGATCGTCGGCAGCGAACATCCATCACCGAGCCAAACATTGATTGTGCAGATGTGCTTATTCGTGACAATAGGCGCATCACTATCATGGAACTTGGAGAAATGCTGTCCATCAGTGTTGGTAGTGTAGAAGACATCATGAAATACCACCTGCACTATCGCAAGGTGAACGCACGATGGGTACCATGCACTTTGATGGACGTGAACAAAATGGTGTGCATGCAAGCTGCCAGTCGTCTCCCACAGCACTTTGAAGATGAAGGTGATGCATTTTTGAAGTCTACAGTGACCACTGATGAAACGTGGGTGCACTACTTCATTCCCGAGTCCCAGCAGTCATCACACGAGTGGCGGCATACCAGTTCTCCCAAACCCGAGAGAGCGTGGATGAGGCGTTCGGCAGGAAAAGTGATGGCAACGTTCTTCTGGGACTGACAGGGGGTGATCCATGTAGACTTTCTCACAGATGCCAGAACAGTCGATGCAGCTTATTACTCAGACCTCCTGGCAACAGACGTCGAGGAAAAGATCCGATCCAAGCGGAAGAGAGGTGGAAAGCAGGTAGCCTTCCTTCAAGACAATGCATGCCCCCATATGGCCAAAACAACATTGGAAACACCCCGGAAATTGAAATGGAACCTTCTGACACATCCGCTGTACAGTCCCAATTTGGCCCCAAGTGATTTCTACCTGTTCAGAAGGCTCAAATCAGACTTGCAAGGCATGCGGTTTGTGGACAATGATGCCATCATCCAGACTGTTCAGGAGTGCATACGCCACCAACCACAAGCCTTTTTGAAAAGGACATCAGGATGCTTCCAGAACGTTGGAAAAAATGTGTTGATTCCAGAGGGGAGTACGTTGAAGACTGACATGTGCAAGTAAGTGTTTGGCAATTATGGTTTAAAAAAAAAAATCAGTCCCGGTCATATTTGAACCACCTTGTACAGAACAGTTACTCCACTTCTCTCATAGCTATCACTTATATACAATGAATTCATCTCAGCTGATCAGGCATGTGATGACAGTGTTAATAGTGTCCAAGAGACTGCCTCTGTCACCATCATAAGCTCTTAGAATCATATATTATTTATATGTTCTTTCCATTAACTCAATAAAATGAAAGAATAATGAAGAGGTCACGTCTATCCCTTCACATATTTTCATCCAAAACTAAACAACAAATTTTAATGACATGTGACACTGAGCAACACACATGAAATTACAGAGGGAATATCACTGATGTTCATGTCAGTCCAACACACCACCAACTTTACACAAAACTCACATCAGTCTCCATAATTTTTCTTGCCCCTCAACCAAAAATCCAAGAATAATTAAAAAATACTGCTATAAGACAAAAACTATACATTCCATTAAGATCTACAATTTTAATTTGAAATACTGACAAACTGTAATGAAAACTATTTAACCTGTATGAACTGAAATACCATGAACAGGGCCAGATTTAAGGTCAGAGTACCCAGATTTTACTGACATGTCCACTTCTTTGAAATCATGAAAAGTTATTTTGTGTCCCCTGTGATTGAGTGTCATGCAGTTCCATAGATTGATCTACCTGGTCAACCTATTCACCAAGTAAGATGGTGTCACATCATAAAAAATCATAATCTTCATTTTCTGTGCTGCTTGCAGAATCCAACACTCTGAATAGGTGGAAGAACTAATTCTCTCAATTACTGAACATACATAGTGTCTGTGATGTTAGGCAGACAGAAGTACATACAGCTGAAACATTACTACCTGAGCCTAGTCCATTTGAGGTTGAAACTGCTGTTGCAAAGTTTATAACATATACATTGCCAGGTAGCAACCAAATTCCAGCAGAACTGGTTCAAGCAAGAGGGAAAACATTACAGTCTGAGATCCATAAACTCATTAATTCCATCTGGAGAAAGGAACTGCCTGATCAGTTAAAGGTGTATATTATTTTACCAATTTACAAGAAGGGATATAAGACTAACTGTAGTAATTATAGGGGGATACCAACTTCATACAAAACTTTATCCAATATCTTTTTCTCAAGGTTAAGTTCATATGTAGACAAAATTATCGGTGATCATCAGTGAGGGTTTGGACATAAAAGATGAATTACTGATAAGGTTTTTTGCATTCATCAGATACTGGAGAAAAAATGGGAGTAGATTGAGACAGTACATCAACTATTCATTAATTTCAAGAAAACCTATGATTCAGTTTGGAGGGAAGTATTGTACAGTATTCTCATACAGTCTGGGGTACCCATGAAATTAGTTAGGCTGATTAAAATGTGTTTAAATGAAACATATAGTAAAGTCCATATAGGTAAACATTTGTCGACAATCTTCCTATCCAGAATGGTTTGAAACAAGCAGATGCTTTATCGCTTCTGCCTTTCAACTGTGCTTTAGAATATGCCATTAGGAAGGTCCAAGAGAGCCACACTGGACTGAAATTAAATGGGACACATCAGCAACTGCTCTATTCTAATGATGTAAATCTACTGGGAGATTACATAAGTACCATAAAGAAAACACAGAAGTTCTAATGGATGCTAGTAAGGTGGCAGGTCTAGAAGCAAACTCAGAGTAAACCAAGTACATGTTGAAGAAACATCAAATCTTACATAAGTACATGTTGATGTCTCATCGCCAGAATGCAAGGCAAAATCATATTATAAAGGTAGCTACTAGATCCTCTGAAAAAGTGGCACAGTTCAGATATTTTGGAATGACAGTAACAAATCAAAATGTAATTCAGGCAGAAGTTAAGAGGAGACTGAATTCAGGTAACACTTGCTGCCATTCAATTAAGAACTTTTTTTTTGTCTTCTCATCTGTTGTCTAAAAACATAAAAATTAGAACATACAAAAACTATAACGTTTTCTGTGGTTTTGTATGGGTGTGAATCTTAGTCTCTGACATTAAGGGAGGAAGCAGTAGGAGGTTGGAGAAAAGTGCATAATGAGGAGCTTCATAATTTGTACTCTTTAAACAATATAATTAGAATGAACAAATCAAGGTGGCTGAGATGGTCTGGGCATTAAACATGCATGGGGAAGAAGAGGAAAGTATGTAGGATTTTAGTGGGAAGGCCAGAAAGAAAGAGGCCACTATGAAGACCGAGATGTAGGTGAGAGGATAATACTAAAACATATTTTAAGAACTTTAGTTCATTTGATTGATCCGTATGATTTGTGATTCTCACAGCAGTGGTTATGAAAAGTTCTATCTTCTGGGATATCATGCCAAGTAGCCCACTAAAAATCAACCAGGGTTAGCTCTGCTTGCGACCAGCTTCATGCTGGTGTGTTTTTCGGCTCATTCTTTAACCCTGAAGAGAGAGACATGTTCCTCCAAAACAACAGTTGATTTTCAATGAATAACATGGCATTATATCTCAGAAGACAGAACTCTTCACAACCACCAATGTGAGAACCTCAAATTATACATAAATTGAGCCACACTAAAGGCAACTGCTTTTAAGAATTGTTACTTTTTTATTAGGAACTGAGGTTACGGTGGGTTGATGAGGAGGATATGGAGATGGATGTGGAACAGGGCAGCATCTCTAGTGAAGAAACAGCAGGTTCTTGTTCAGACAATGAACTACGAGTTGGAGTGCGGCATGCACAAGACATCTGGAACAGAAATGATGTGGAGGATGGGCTAAGAGCCTTGCCTGGAAGTGAGGAGGTTTCCACACTTCTAGAATCAGGAGATGAAGCTGGGCTGGTAAATCATAGTCATGGACAGACAACAGGACTTCTAATAGCCTCCTGGAAAGGCAACACTCACATGCTCACTAGACTGCTGGATGCTGGAGCTTCAACCTGTGTAACAGATGCTGAAGGAAGGTACATATGCTTCTAGTTCTAACACCAACAAGATTTTCCACCATTAGCTGTACTAACCACCATTGTCATGCCATTTTTTATGCTTGTTGAAGGCGAAAATACTCCTGGGGCCTCACTCACCTAACCTTGCAAATATTTTGTGCTGCTACCTAGAACTTCAAACACATATGACAAAACTTAACTATGTTATTTTAGCGGCCTCCGTAGTCTAGAGGTAACGTTCCCACCTCATGACTCGTAGTACACGCGTTCAAATACCCGGCGGAGGTCGTTGAATTTTTAAGGGCGAAAAAATTCAGGGAACAAGTCCTCTGGGAGGGACTTTAAGCCGTGGGTCCCGTGTCGTAGCTTTACGGCACGTAAAAGAACCTCATATCTCCAAAGGAGGTCACTGAGCCAAATTACGGACGTTTCCCGCCCAACAGCAGTCTCTAATACCTCTGGTAGATGGGGGAAGCATTATAGATACCTCTCAGCTAGTAGAGCCGGTCTCGCTGGCTGGGCGGGACTGATGGTAAGCACCAGTACCGGTAGGATATAGAGACTGGTAGAAATCATAGAGGGAAGCATAATGGACCAATACAGGTCTAAGTGCATGGGGAAACCCACCCTCTCCAATAACTAACTAACTAACTAACTAACTAACTATGTTATTTTAGGTCAGGTGGGTCCCTTGTAATCACACCTATTCACATCCTCACATCCTCACATCCTCACATCTTCACATTACAGATGCTGAATTTCACAGAGAGCTGGCAAGAGGTATTCCTCCAGTATAAGCTGACAATCTCTCTAAAAGAAATAATGAAAAACTGAATGAAGGAGACTAGTTGTTAAACCTAAGGAGAATAATATTAAAATGTACCTTCTACAGATAAGGTGTGTGGGAGCAGAATGGATTCAACTAGTTCACAACAGGATCCAGTGGTAGGTCTTGTGAATACTGTAATGAATTTTCAAATTCCACAAGGGGTATAACATTTTTTTATTATTTGCATGACTGCCAGCTTCCCAAGAAGGACTCCCTCCATGAATCCAGCCATTTTCAAAAACAATTACCAGAGGGACAGCAAAACTGAGTGACCATTTTTATCATCGTATCCATCAGAAAGGGTTTCTGCTAATCAATATTTCAAACCTCTTCAGAAACAACTGGCAATTCTTAGCCTAACACAATTCTTGTTATGATATCATTGGACAAAGGCTTAATATCTTGTCCCTAAAAGTTAATAAATCTATTCACTCCCACCTTACAAATGTCAGATTACAGTGCACACTTCCAAGTTGCCTGATCTCAGTTAGTTAGTTTTCACTGTCTGATTGCACAGTATATTCTAGCCCTCTTATACATTAGGCTAGACCCACAAGTTATTAAAGAACTATCAGGCTTCTTCATTAAAACTGAACCTCACAACAGAGACCTCTGTACCCAGGATAAGGAGTAATCTCCATGGCCTGTAGTCTGCAAGTGAACTATACTGACCGAGCGATCACCACTTATCGGCAAAGTAAGTGCCAACTTTAGTGATTAGAGGGTGCCACATGGTCAGCACAACAGATCTCCATCGCCGTTAATCTCGGTTTTCTAGACCGGAGCTGCTATTTCCTTGAAATAACTCCTCAATTATCCTCATGAGGCTGAGAGGACCCCATTCCAGACCCACTACTTCTCAGAAAATATGGTAGCGCCGGGAATCAAACCCAGAACCTCTGGATCTGTAGCCAGGAACTCTGACCACTAGACCACAGAGGTGGTAAAAATTTTTTTAAAATAAAACATATTTGTAATGAGTCACCTTTTAAAATATATGAATTAAATTCAAAATTAAACCAGTATTCAGTGACAAGCATGGCAACTGCGAAAAATTTGGGGGTTATATCTAGAAAATATAATAAATTCGGATTATGTACCAGTACAAGTTATGCCTAGAAATTGATTACAAAATTGTATGATTATTAATCCATATATTTCTATTGTTTTTGATGTGTTAATCTGTTAATTTTGTGTGAATTCTGTCACTTGACTGGGTCCAACAGTCTCAATGACTGACAAACACTGAAGCAAGCCATTGTCACTGCTGGGCATAAACTTGAATATAATAATATTCTGTTTAAGCATCCTGTTGCATTAATGTATAATTTATTTCATACAATATATTTTTGTCTACACTGCAACTTATTATTGTCCCTTTTCCTTCTCATAACATGTTTTGGTCATGCATGGCCGAAACATATTGTGACAAGGAAAAGAGACTTGAATGCAAGCCCAGTTTGCTTATTAATGGTTCATTGGTTCTTTAAAAATATTTCTTTTTCAGATGCACTGATTATATAGTGGCAAATGAAAAATAATTGAGAAGGAAGCATTCATGGCATTTTACCATCCCAGAATTTGTTTGGAAGGTCTAACAAAAATTTCAGGCTAGTCAGCATCCTGTTCAAGATGTAAAACATGTAACTCCTGAGTGCTAACTACTGTATAACACTGCTAAGCTGTGTGTCTAATGATATTGACAAAACTGTTCTAGGACTCCACTACATTTAGCAGCCTGTGCCCGAGATGCAGGTTGCGTTAACATTCTTCTGGAACATGAAGCATCAGTACAGGTATGGGACTCCCATCATCGAGCTACTCCACTGCACTGCGCTGCCAGTGCCGGAAACTTAACAAGCCTACGACTTATCCTGAAAGCTGGTGCAGATGTGAATGCAGGACTAACAGGAAGAAGTGCCTTGCATTACGCAGTACAAAGCTCTGCCATTGACTGTGCCAGAGAGCTGCTGAAAGCTGGTGCCAATCCCAACACACCTCAGGTGTACACAGAGACACCCCTGCATGTGGCAGCAGCCATGGGCTCTGCAGTGTGCGTTCGTTTATTATTAGAACATGGTGCAAATGTGCGGGTCCAATTTGGGCCCCAGAAAACAACAGCGTTACATCTAGCAGCTGAAGATGAAAATGCAGAGTGTTCAAAGTTGCTCTTAGATGCCGGTGCAGAAATCAATGCGCAAAATGATCGACATCAGACACCTCTCCACATTGCAGCATTATCCCAGTCAGGAGAGATATTGGAGCTGCTGTTACAACGTGGAGCTGACCCTAATGCTGAAGATACTGATGGTCGAACACCACTGCACAGTGCCATTGTGAAGATCTATCGCTCATGTGAGTGTGTGCGATTACTCCTCGATGCAGGGGCCAAGGTTAACAAGCCTGATGCATTTGGGTATACGCCCTTACACATTGCAGCACTCAATGAAATATCGAGCTGTGTTTATCTGCTGTTGACCTATGGTGGTGATGTAACAGCAAGGACAAATGGAGGAGTGTCAGCACTGTCCTTCATTGTCCGACGCACTCCAGATATCCTGCCAAGGATACTGTCTCAGATGGATGCTTCTATCAAACTCCATGATCATGAAATTGGTGATGTTGATTGTGAACTCAAGCTTGATTTCCGTATCCTTGTGCCAAGTGTTGAGCGTGGGGAGAGTGGACTCCTGTTAACACTGATAGAAGTTGGCCAAAGACACATCTTGAAACATCCACTGTGTGAAACATTCCTATTTCTGAAGTGGAAAAGAATTAGAAAATTTTTCCTTTTCAGCCTTTTCTTTCACACAATCTTTGTGCTGCTCTATTCAGGCTATATGATGGGTGTATACCTAAGAAACTGTCCAATGCCAGTGTCAAATGAAACTCGGACTAATGACATGGACACCTGCAATATCCTCATGGTTGTGAAAGTGACAGGCTATGTGCTGCTGGCATTTGACATGTTACTGATAGCAAAGGAACTGTTTCAAATGGCTCACAGCTGGGAAACATATGTGACTCATTGGGAGAACTGGCTCCAGTGGCTCATCATAATCAGTGTGTTCCCATGTGTGCTGCACCACCACAGTGCTGATGATGTAAGCCAAGATGTTCTCACTTGGCAACATCATGTGGCTGCAATTGGCATCTTCCTTACATGGATTGAACTGATGATGCTTGTTGGACGTTTCCCTATATTTGGGCTTTATGTACAGATGTTCACTACAGTTGCTTTGAACTTTGCCAAGTTCCTACTAGCTTACAGTTGCCTCCTGGTAGCTTTCAGTCTTAGTTTTGGAGTACTCTTCCCCAACTACAAATCTTTCAGGAACATAGCCTGGGGTCTCATGAAAACTGTTGTCATGATGTCAGGAGAACTGGAGTTTGAAGACATTTTCTATGCAACAGAGAGCCCTATATTGTACCCAATTACAGCACACCTTATATTCCTTGCATTTGTCCTTCTTGTGACAGTAATCCTCACTAATCTAATGGTAGGTCTGGCAGTAAATGACATCCAAGGACTGCAACAATCTGCAGGGCTGGATCGGCTGGTTCGACAGGCTGAACTTGTGGCACATCTTGAGAGTATGCTGTTCTCCCGATTACTTCGTTGTCTACCAAATAAACTGCTAACCCTATGCCATCGCAGTGCCTTACTAACATTTTCACCATATCACCGATCACTATACATTCGTCCCAATGACCCACGTGAAAATCGTATTCCACGCGAACTAGTTAAAAACGCTTACCATTTGGTAGCTGAAAGAAAAGAGAAATCAAGGCATCGGTTAAGATACAGCTCCACATCATCAGACAATGCAATCAGATGTTCAGATGGTGACTATGTAAAAATAGTTTACCCCCAGTCAAGGTACTCAGTGAAAAGTGAAACTGAATCACGTGGGACGTGTCCAAATTCCAAACACCGACAATGTGATTCCACAATAGATCAACTACTGTCCCACATGGCTGCTCTGACTGATGAACTTCAGCAGCGTGACATCATAACCACACAGCGTTTGAATATGCTGACAGAAGAGATAAATGCTCTGCGGAAAGACTTCAAGTCCATTTGATGTGATACTTAGGGAAACGTGACTTACTCAATAACTAAAGCAGAACAGACCACTGTAGGTCGCGGCGCAGGGGCCGAGAAGGCCTACCCCTCATACATTCATACTCAATAACTATTCATTACAGCATTTTCACTGTTTCATCATCCTTATTATGCCATCATGATCAGATACATTACTTTTGTACTCAAAAAATTTCTGCACAGTGAAACTGTCTCGGTCATCCAACATTCATCCGTCTGGTTGGCATTTCACAATATTTTGGGCAAGCCTTGAAGAGTACATTCTTAAGAATTGATTATGTCTCTCATTTTTGTAGTCTTGGAGTCTTTTCTCTAAAGCATATCTGTAATGTATTGCATATTGTTGCACTGCATACATGGTCTGTTAATGTATATCCAGAGACGTGCCTTAAAAAGCTCATTTCTGCTGTTTCAATTTTTCTCCTTTCAGATCTATTCAGAGTCTGGTCTTCACTTCCATATACAGCCACAGGAACTGCTATTACCTTATAAAATTTAATCTGTGTATATTTTCTAGCTTTCTTTTTTACCACTCTTGGTACTGTTTGAAATCTAGACAGCGTCTGTTCAAGATCATTTTCATAGCTGTATGATATGTCATAGCCCAGATAATTAAAGCCCTGAACCTGTGTGACTGCTTTATCATTTATTACAATTTTTTCACCAACAGCACACTTCACCTTCAAAAACCATTACTTTTATTTTTGTTGAAATTTCCAGATTACAGTTATTTGTTATGATTTGTAACTGATGAGTAGCTGTTTGTAAATCATACTCCGATTCTGAAAATATGACCTGGTCATCAGCAAATAAGATTGTTTAAAACTGTTCAGCCTATTCTAAAATATGATCTTAGCTGAATCTACCTATGAGTGGCTGCATATATATACAGGTGGTGGACAACAAAATGGAAACACTAAGAAATTAAGGAACAGAAGTTGTTTGTGATGGCTACATTGAAATAACTTCAGTTGGCAACACTGAATGTTCTGCTGTTTGTTTATACACTGTAGTGCTCAAGTCAGTGCATTTGTGTTTGTTCTTAGTGACAGTCCATGTGGATGAACCAGAAAATGGAAGACTTGCCTGATTTTGAGAGAGGACAGATCATTGGTATGCATTTAGCTGGAGCATCTGTGACAAAAACCGCCACTTTATTACGTGTATTGCAGCACCATGAAGCCGTTCCAAAATGCCTTTCCAGTTAACCTTTCCTGATGCCCTGGTTGTCATAATTTCAGCCACCTGTGGTCTCTGAGATTTATGAGTAATATAAGTTCCCCTGGTAATGCTGCCAACATCATGCATGTAAAGTCTGGTGATGGGGCTGACATTTCTCTGCCTCCAGACTTGCAGGATCTTTATCCAGCCACTTCTACCCAGGAGATCCAACACCATGATTTGTATCCTTACTTCACTCATATTATTAGGATTATTACATCAAGACAGTGAGACAAAGAAATTTTGATTGGAAACCCTTATGAACAGAGCCAATTTGCAAAAAGAGGTGTATTTTTTTTTATTGCTAGTGGAGTGGGACTAAGTCCCTTGTACTGCGGCCAATTCTGGCCTGTTGTAACAGCCCGAGATGATAGGTGAGGGTGATTGTGGAGCAATTAGTGGAATAAAGATTGGCAGGGGAAACCAAAGTACTTGGAGAAAACCTGCCCCAGCGCCATTTTGTCCACCACAAATCCCACTTGACCAGACCCGAGAGCAATCCCGGGCCGCCACGGTGGGAAGCCAGCAACTAACTGCTTGAGCTATGGCGCAGCGAAAAAGAGGCGTATATGGGAGATTAGTACTGAAACTAACAGGAAAATGGGGTATGAGGCAGATTCAGCTGGCCAGGATATGGTCTAATGACAAACGTTTATGATGAGTAACAGTAGCACAATAACTACTACGTGCTCCAAAAATATTCATGTCTGTATTAGGGGATGAACAAATGTTATAGTGGACACTTACACTAATGGGAATTCATCATATTTTCACTCACAATGTGAGTCTTTCATTCTGTTCTAAGTGTTCATCTTACCTACTTCACTAACTAGCACTTTACAATCAATAATATCATGACATGACTATTTAAACATTGTCCATTGCATGGGAATGGCTCGATGAAAAGAGATCCATCAGAAGGCAACAGCCTGTGACAAGAACAAAACAACTGTTGGGAGCAGTGTTTTCTATGCGTCCTGTGTCAAGGCTACACAGTGACAGCCACTGAAACAGTTTAGGCAGTCGCCATCATGAGTTAGGTGTGAGATGGTAGCCAGATGGCAATGACATAAGCACAAGAACAGAAAATCTTCATTGTTGGAACCTCACAAAGTGAAGACAGTACTGAGATTTGCAGTGTGTAGATCCGTGAAAATATTATGGTTACCTGAAGTTACAACTTATAAGTGTACAACAAATCCAAATAGAAGTAGCAAATAATCTTCCACTCATATGGTACTGACCTATCAAATTGGTTGATCAAACTCATTCAAAAGAATGGAAAGGTTAATCCCCTATAATACATATATTTTCTACATGCATTCTTTGCTGAGATTTGAAGTTCTCATGATGATGAATATTACTATAATATAGCCATGTAGGATGTGATATCTCGAAGTCTGGTAGATAGGTACTAACATTTTGAAGGAATGTGCTGCCTGCATCTCAAGTCTACCCTACAGATGGACATAGCATACTCCTCCAAAACACTGATACCTACCTGCTGGACTATATGATGTTCCAGAAGACTGGAAGTTTAGCATTTTGTGCTCTTTTGCATACCTCCTTGACATATAGGGTTAATTTATTGCTGAGCCACATCTACTGGTGCAAGCTAATTCCTCTGTACATATCCCAACATACAAAGTAAGAAATTATGATTTTATGTATTTTATTAAATGTTTGCTACTTCAAAAATGTTTTGAATAAAAGCTGTAAATACCAATTATATATATATAATTTATGTCATGTAAAAAATCTCTGTATGATGAGCCACTGTCAAGAAAATCAATAAATTTAATTTGAGCTTCTGTCTACATACAGAATATGAAAGAGTCTAAGACACGGAAATACACGATCTCCACATAATGAATTCACATATAAAAACACTCTTACCACTGATATACAAAAGAAAATCACCTTTGTTTGTTATGAAGATCTCATAGCCTTTATCTGGCTATCTACAATTTTTGTTCCATCCCCCTTCTCATATTAATGTTGCTGAAACTCATGTCCTTTTTAGTACTCACCAATAAGCTGGAAATATAAGATGAACCATTTTCTAGATGAACTCGAACATCATTAGCTGTTCCACAGCGCTGTGGAAGCTCGTATCCCTTTATTTTAGCTTGATGGATAACTGTCAGATATCCAGTCAGTTCTTGAATCTGTCTATTAACAGCAGCTAACAACACATCATTCTCCACAATATAAGCAATGTCTTCAACCATTCCATCATGACTGAATGTTATCATTGCATCTGAACAGGCCTCCCACACCTGAAATACAGGAGTAAGAGGAATAATACTGTAGTGAGGCATGAAGACAGACCTGTAGCAGCCCAGTATAGCTGTTCCACATGCATGCTTAAGCTTGCTTTCATCAACAAAAATGTCTTTAATGTATCAAATGCGTTAAGCTCTATTAGGTGAAATAATATTATGGTGCAATTGTTGTTGCTGAAAATTATAACATCAAGAGAGAAAAAGCTAAAAGGCTGTTACACTGTTAGAGTTTCCACTTAAACATGACTCTCATGCAATGTAATGCTAAGACTTGGAAGCACATTTTGGCAATGTAGCAACACCAAGCACAGACCGAACCCTGTATTTCATTTCTGAACATTACATTTCATAACAGTGAACTGCATTTGGAAATATCTCAAAAACAACTGATACTGCTCAATATCAACGCTATCCAGATAAACCAGCATGCACTGGGTGACAAGCAATAGGTCAGCAGCCAACAGTAGACAGGCTGAGCAAACAGATTTCTAGCTGGCTGCTCTAAGGCTAAATTGAATTCCCTATACAAACAGATAACTGTGACATACACCAGAAATAACTGGGTGTACTGGTTTTTTAATGTGCTGAAAAACCTAAAATAAGAGGGAGGGGTATTTAGTGAGGAACCTGAGATTGAATTTAAATTAAATTTTGGGAAGACACATTGTCAGACAAAGTAAAATTTCTTCATTACTATGTGAATGCACTTATTGTACCTGTAGCTTCTTTACAGTTTTGTATCTTGCATTAGCAATATGCGTCCATGCACCAATCAACTGCAAAAGATCCTTTGTGCCACTGTTGAGGGAAGACACACGGTTACTGTACTGTGGCTTCAGGTCCCTGCTTTGTTGTGGGCTTCCTTCCAAAAGCAGAATCTTCCTACCTGATAGTCTTGGTGCTTGAGCTGGAACACCATTATTAAATACACACTAAAACTCCACAGCTGATACTGAAAACTAACAAAATATATCAATATAAAATCTGAAATTTCATAGAACCTAAATGTAACGAAATCTTGATTGAACAGCCATCTTAACATAGAATAAGAATCAAATGTTTCACAGGATGCTAGAATTCCACAACAATCAGTCTTTGTATATTTATTAATCTTCAAGCCAATAACTTTGTCAATTAAAATTTCTATGTCTTTTATTCAAAGTAGGAACTAAATTTTAAAATATCACATAGACGAACCTAATTCTATAAAAGTTAAAGAAATTCCAACTAACCTGCTGGGAAAGGTTGTAAAGAAATTAATTCCTAACAGATTTCGATTTTCTGATCTAATTAAATCAACTAAGGAAATGTGTATTTTTCTAGTTATGACAAACTTCACAGGAAAGTGAGATTATTCAGTATAAACAGCATGTTGGTAGTACATGAAATGGCAGAACAAAAGGTGCAATGTAACTTCAATAATATTATGCTTGTGTTTTGGTAGACATCTTTTCCTTTCAACAGCATTTCTTTTTCACATATTTATTATACATCAATAAATCAATAATTTGTTGTAAAATGCCATCGATCCAACTGAGGCTACAGAGTATGTCTGACGGATACAGAACCAGTCACAAACAGGTAACCTATACAATAACATGTACAATAAATATGTAACATAGTGATTAAGAAATACTAAACAATGCACATGCTTTATGAAAATTAAGCATAGGTCAGATAAAACAATAAACCAAACTGATTTATCTTCCTACTTCATACTTAAATGTAATACAAGTCTTCATGCCGAAAAGTAGGTGATTATATATCTTATGCAAAAATAAAGCACCTTATGATGTATAAAACATATGGATACAAATATAACACTAAGATTCATATTTACTATTAAAAAAGTCCTTCAGTAAACAAAATGAATTCTGTAGAAGGTAATTTTTTAAAGTATTTTTAAATTTATTCTTATCATCTAACACTTTTTTTTATGTAAGAAGGTAAGTGATTAAATGCCTTTATACCCATATAATAAACACCATTTATATAAATTGACAACCTTGGTTGTTAATGGTAAAAATTATTTTTGTTTCCAGTATTAATATCATATAACTCCAAATTTATTTTAAATAAGGAAATATTATCAGTTACAAAGATTAATAATAAGAATATATACTGCAAGTCAAATGGTTATACATCTAATTTCTGAAAGAGATCCCTGCAGGAGTCCCTATTTCTAGAATTTGTAATAATTCTTATGACCTTTTCTTGCAGTTTAAATATATTGTTACTATGGGAGGAATTTCCCCAGAAAATTATACCATACGACATAACTGTATGGAAATATGAGTAGTAAATCATCCTCAATGATTCGTGAGACAAAGGGTCTTAACGATCTGATAGCATAGCATGCTTTGCTTAATTTCACCATGAGTCCATCAATATGATTCTTCCATGACAAGGAGCTGTCAACAGTAACACCTATAAACCGAGTATTTATATTATTAACAATAAATTTATTATTATAACTGGTATCTAATTGAATTGTTGGGCTATTAGTAGTTTCTAAATTGTATATACTGGATTTTATTAAAATTTAATGATAACAAATTGGTGTTAAACCATACATTCAATTGATCAAATGAAGAGATAAGAAGGCCTGAAGAATGTCATTTAGGAATTTAAAAGGTGCCATTTCTGTTGAAGAATTACTTCTAAACCCATACTGTTCAGTAGATAGTATATCATTATCTAATATATGTTTGGAGAGTCTTATATATTTATCACTTTTTCAAATATTTTAGAAAAAGATGTTAGTAACGATATAGACCTATAATGTTTTATATCTTTCTTGTCACCTTTTTTTGATGATAGCTTAATTACAGAATATTTTAAACATGTAGGAAATGAACCAGATAAGACTGACCTATTACAAACATAATTTAAAGGGGCAGAGATAAATGGAGAACTTATTTTAACAATTTTAATCGAGATTTCATCATATCCATATGAGTTTTTGGTTTTAAGGGATTTCATAATTTTTTCAATTTTCTTAGTCGTTGTACGATCAAATATATTTGGAAATGGGTTCATAAAAACTCTGAATAAATAATCAATGCAGTTGTTACCTTTTATATCCACATTGTTATTGATATTAGAAATAATATCATAACATAATCTGCAGAATTTGCAATAATAATATATATATTAAATAAATACTGGCTCATGAATGAGTTATGCACAGTGGCATAACACACATACATTTTTCTCTGTTCACTTACGTATTTTTTTAATTCTTGTATTGGTGTTTTACTCAGGTCTGTTTGGACTAACTGGTCATGTTGTGGTTAGTTCAAATAAGAAGTGACAAGATAATGGCAGATAGCACAATGACAAGAGAGAAGTTCTGACATTTTTAAAGAAGCAAAAAAATTGTACCTTGCCTTTTACAGCTTCCATGTTGTCACACAGGTGTTAATTTAATCTCATGTTTTTCTTAAAATCTGAGATCATATATTTAGAAATAACTTCTTCATAAGAATTCTAACACAGCACATTCTACATTTATCAAAGAGTATTAAATTATCACCTATAATATACCATAAATCACAATCAGTCATAACCTTTAATTTTTTGCATTCTGTTGTGTTTTATTTTAAGCTGTCAGCAAAATTATATTTTACCTTCCTAGGAACAAGAAGTGGACAGTCTGTGGCGTTTAATATTTATTTTTAAAACCTATTCCACTATATGTTTCGACCTGTACTAGTCATCTTCCTGGAAATATGGTTCCATTTTTCTGTTACACACTGGTTATGTTTCACAGACAAGTAGCTAAAGCATATGTTGTATTTTAGCGTCCTGTTGCACTGATTCATATTCATAATGTGTATGTATTAAGAGTCTTCAAGTGCACACAATCACATTTACCACTTCTACACTACATGTTTCGGCAGTAAGCTGCCATCTTCAGGTGTATCGATCCGTCAACCATTTCACTGCTTGCCTTTATATGTCCATTTATAAATAATATTAAATTTGTATACATCCTTATATAATAATAAAGTTTATATATTTAAAAGTTGTTAAAATCTATTATTAATGATTACAACGCACGCAGCCAAAGAAGAAGGACACATCACAAGACACAGTATACACAAAATATAGGAAGAACGACTCCCATAGTGGAAGAATAATATAATACGCGAGTTTGAAATAAGACGTATAAGATGATAAATCTTCATAAATTTTAATATACATAAATTTTATTATAGTACATGAAGAATATACATTTTAAATCATTTTATAAACGACACATGATGGCGAGCAGTGCAACAGTTTAACGTAGATAACACACCTGAGGATGGCACAGTGATGCCGAAACATGCAGTGAAGTGACATGTGAGATTGTGTGCACTAGAGGACAGTCAATACATACATATCATGGATGACATTCAGTGCAACAGGACGCTAAAATACAACATTAACAGTAAAAAGTTTGTTTGGAAGAACTTAGTGGTGTTAGTTTTGAAGACTGAAGCTTGTCATTAGCTTGAGAAATTTTGTATAAACATATGTGACATGTACCCTAAACTCTTTTCTGGTGGTGTCCTTCTACTAATGTTATGCTGTTATTCTGTCCATAAAGCATGTTCTTATACAGTCTTGTGGTTATTTATTCTTTCTGACATTGTGTGGTTTCTTTTTTCTTGATGGTATACCTTTCAGTGATGTGACAAGACTGACAAGCCAGTCTGAAATTCTGAAATTTAAGCTGTAATGTTTTCCTAAGTTTCACATCAGTATTATACTTAAACTAGTTTCAACATACATCTCTCATATGGAATTTCAACACAAGAAGTAACACAACTGAAGGTTTAATACAGAGCAAGGTCTTTGGATTAAGACTGATAGGCACATAACAAGCTCCCATCATGACAACTATTCAAAAGGCTACTGAGTGATAACGGAGAGGTGCGGTAATGCTTAGAGACTATTAGTTTGATTATGACACGAGTATGAACGTGCATCGGATGATGTGAGTAGAATAAGCCCCTCAACCTCAATAGCCAAACAATTTGCAGCAAGCTCTCAACCAACCTCCCTTATGTGTGTGTACATACACACATATATACATACAGAATTACTGGGGTTTTGGACTTTTTCCATCCTCCAGAATTTTAGGTAACAGAAGACACAATGTTTCAGAAACTGGATCTGTGATCTGGATCACTGGACTAGTGATTGAGATTAGCTCTTTCTAAGGGGCCAAACTGAGTAGGTGTCTTCCTTTCTCACCTGAAGACAGAAACAGATCCAGTTTCCGAAACGTTGTGTCCTCTATTACCTAGAATTCCAGACGGTGGAAAAAGTCCAAAACACCAGCAATTCCGTCTCTCTCCCACCATTGTCAGAACCCTTAATATATATATATATATATATACATGTCACGAACCCCATAATTTTGAAGTGTTGTTATACTTCTTAAGATATAACGGATAATATAAAAGTCATGAACTGAAATGGCGGATAGGATTGAAGAGCACATGGTATATACCTATTACTAGGTAAACAACGGTAAAGATGAAACACAGGAATATCCTAATCGATATAGACACTTGTGCTGCTTTCTGTTGTATTCCTTTATGATTAGTTCGATTAAATATAGATTGCTTTATTTCGCTTCGGGAGGGTCAAAACCGTATTTTGCATATTCAGAAGATTTCAAGTCATGAAAATCTCTACGAGTGCCATACATATTTTGTGTACTAGGATTGAGGGTCTTCGTGCAACTAAGAGGCGCAGAACATTATTCTAATAACATAAGCAACTCAAATTATGAGTTAACATTAGAGAAATTCCATCATTTTACACAGAACTGAACGTAAAACTCCCCTAACCTAAAGTACACGCCAATGTTGTTCCAACCATTCCTCCGCCAGCAACGATAATATCATAATGTGCATTTTTCTCGTTAAGCCTTGATGATGTAGACGCCTCCCTGCACAGAAACCTAATTTGATTTGCTCTTACATTATTCATGATATGAACGCAAGAACAAATATTTCGCGACTTGCTAAACATTCTTCTCAATGAACACATTTTCTCCTCCACGTTCTTTTGTACGTACACCACATTTCCCCTGCGTCGCGATTGTCATACCAACTTCTACGTTAAATACAACGGACCAAAAATTGACATCAAAATAACATTATTCTTGTGTACAGAAAATTGCATCTCACCTATACGAGTATTAAGCCACAGTAAATCTAAATTTAGTAAACAATGTTATTACTGTTTAAAAATATCTCCTAATATTTGAATACTATGTCAATGTTGGCTTTCTGTTATTTACATTTCCATAGCGACTGTTGCCATAACAACAGCAACAACAACAAATTAGTGCTTGTGCTTTTTCTGCAATGACAGCAAGACATACTGGTGCCGCTTTCAATCATTCCTGTCTTAAGGTACCCATTAATCCCACAAACAAATTACCGTTGCCTACATTCGAAAGAAAACGAGTGTCAAATTATTTCGAGAATGATCAGATCAACAGGGAAATATCAAGTCGAGATACAACTCAAAGCTTTGAAATTGTTTCTGGTGCAGATGGACCTTCTTCAGACTCTAAAGAAGGCCTCTCAAAGACGTTGATACCTCAAGACAATGCAAAGTACGCATTAAAAACTATGGGTGAATCTACAAACACACAGTCTCTAAAATCATTTATTGATTTTTATGAGAGTATTCCAGATTATGGAGATTTAATCCATTTATCTGACAGAGAATTCTATGTAAGACTTCAGTACTTAAAAGCAAAACAAAAAACTTATTTAAGAGATTTAGATGACAAGAGTATTTATGTGCCTGAAGTGGACGAAGATAATAAAGCAAACACTATAAAAACTCTGGAGAAGACTTCTGGATCATCTGAAACATGGTTGAAACATTACAATGACAGTTTGAATCTTCAAGGCAAAAAGTGTGACTTAGATGACAAAAGCCTTGTTCCAGCTTCTCTTGGATATTCGGCAGAGCTGAAAAAATATGCACATCCAGGTGATGGTAATTTATTTCGGGATAAATTGGACAGCAAAAAGTACATATCTCCATCTCCAACAATTTCTGCAGTATCTGTGGAAGATTCAGATAAAATTAATAGAAAAAGCAATCCAAAGCCTACAATTCAGCTGAACAACTATATACTGGACACTGAAGAACCAGAAGGTGTGTCAAGAATTGGCTTGATTACCAATAAATCTAGTCACAAAGAAAGTAAATTTAAAGACTCTCAGCCCCAACATGACTTATACAAAATCAAAGAAAAAAAGCAAAATGGCACTAACAAAATTAGAGATACACATTTTTCGTCTGCCAATGAAGAATCAACGTTGCTAGTTGACAGCTCAAAATCCATTATTGACAGTTTATGGGATGATTTCAGAACTGATCACTATATACCCAAATCGGAATTGTTTTCTGATTCAGATAGTGGGCAAGATGATGCATTAGATTTAGCAGTTTCACACAGTGTATCAAATAGTCCTGTTTTAAAACAAAACAAAAATGTTGCATGGCGAGAACCTAAGATCACAGTTCCAAAACCGTTCAACATGACACTGAGGTAGGTCTATTGTACTTCCATTTTATATTTTATGTTTTATTTTAATTGGAATGATTCCATGCAGAAACATGAGAAGCTATTGTGCTTATTGAACACATGTTAAAGAGTTTTTTCTTTGGGGTCCTTTATTGAATAGTAATATCAGGGCTTCATAAGATAAATAGCAGTTTATTTATTTTGGTTTCACAGTTGGGAGTTTTCAGTTTGCTTTCTCTCTTAGTTACCTTCTCCATTTTTCTCATTCCCACATGAGGTAAACTTGTGTCTAAACACCATTTCATGAATAGGGGGCATGGAGGTGAAGTACTGTGCATGTTAACGTTAATGGGATGATCAGCTTCATATTCCAGCAGCTTCACTGTTGCTACCCATAAGCCGGGACAACACATAGGCTATGGAATACATCCTGAGGAATCAAGGCTCCGTTTCCAACATTGGCAAGAAACTGTTCTCTTCTGTACAATATCCAGACCGGCCTTTCGGGTCCATCCAGCTTCATATCCAATGTGTACTCAGGGTTATTTCCCCGAGACTAAAGTGGGTGGGGTGTGAAATTGACCACTCACCTTCAATTAAGTCCACAATGTGCAGAACTACACCTCCATTCCCTCATATGTCTTCATGGTGCAGTGCATAATTAAGCTCAAGGATAGCTTTAACTCATTTTACTCATCCAGTTGGGGGCTGGATGGGCCACAGAGTGTCTGGCCATGGCAGTGAGGAAACAAGCCCTGCCCTTGCAGTAGTTGCACCCCAGCAGTCTAACCCGTAACCAGTCAGTAGCTTTACTCACTGACCTAGCCCAGCTCATTCTGATGGTCACACAACCAACAACATTCTTATAAGTGGAAATGCTTTGGTGTATAGTTTGTGAAAATTCTGTTCATAAAATATTTACTGTGAAAATTTAGCAATGAAATGCAGGAACACTTCTCCCAACTCTTACAATAAATTTTAAATTGAGTTATGTTAAGCTAAATAATTCTGTATTCCAGCATCCTGTTGTAATTGTCCCATACGTGGACGTTAAGTCAAGCTAAATCCTAAACTGTCGGGGGGGGGGNGGAACAGTCAGTGTTGAGATGAAGACTTCCACAGCCAGAGGAAGCCACTGCCTCCATCTTCAGGATAGACCTAAAGATGGAGGTAATAGTTCTCCAAATGTTGGTAGTCATTTACAGAACTGCATGGCATCACATCTCACAAGGCTAGTCTTAATATGCACTGCTGTGAGAACTTATATCTCTGAAGTATTTTATGAGATGCTGGTTCCTAAATAGTAGCCATGGTTCAAAGTGTAGCCAAGTACTAATATAAAAATTGTAAATAGTATGGAGTACTATTTCACTCACTCATGGAGCTGAGCCCTTCTTGAGGAGCCGCAAATTCTGCAGCTACTCAAGAATTTCCCAGCATATTATGGAACCCGAAGATTCATTACCATGTTCATAAGAGCCCTCCACTGGTCCCTATCCTGAGCCAGATCAATCTAATCCATACCATCCCATCCTATCTCTTGAAGATCCATTTTAATATTGTCCACCAACCTATGCCCAGTGGTCTCTTTCCTTCTGCCTTTCCCCCCCCAATATCCTATATTCATTACTCTTGTCCCCATTCGTGCTACATGATCTGCCAACCTCATCCTCCGTGACTTGATCATTCTAATTATACTTGGAGAAGCGTACAAGTTATGAATAAATCTTAAAATATAAGTTAGATTTAGCAGGAGTACAGGAGGTCAGATGGGACAGAGGTGGCATCGAACCAGCAGGCTGTAATAATTATCGGGGTATATCACTGCTATCAACTTCATACAAAATTCTAACCAATATTCTTCTCTCAAGGCTAAGTCCATATTAGATGAAATTATTAGAGATCATCAGTGTGGGTTTCAGATATTGGAGAAAACTGGAGTACAATGAGACAGTACATCAGCTATTCATAGACTTAAAGAATGCGTATGAACAGTAAGCAGGAAAGTATTCTACAATATTCTGATAGAGTTTGGGATACCCATGAAATTAGTTAGGCTGATTAAGATGTGTTTAAACGAAATGTATAGTAAAATCCATGTAGGTAAACATTTGTCTGATAATTTTCCTATCCAGAATGGTCTAAAACAAGGAGATGCTTTGTTGCCATTCCTTTTCAACTTTGCTTTAGAATATGCCATTAGGAAGGTCCGGAGAAACCAGGTTGAACTGAAATTAAAAGGGACGCATCAGTTGTTGTGTATGATGATTATGTGAATCTATTGGGTGATCAAGAAAAACACACAAACTTTAATTGACGCAAGTAAAAAGGTTGGTCTAGAAGTAAACACAGAGAAAACTAAGTATATGTTGCTGTCTCGTCACCAAAATGCAAGGCAGACTCATGACATAAAGATAGGAAACAGATGTTTTGAAAATGTGGCACAGTTCAGATATTTGGGAATGACGGTAACAAATCGAAACCCTATTCAGGAGGAAATTAAGAGCAGATTGAATTCGGGTAATGCTTGCTATCATTCAGTCCAGAACCTTTTGTTTTCTCATCTGCTGTCCAAATACATAACAATTAGAATATAAGTAGTTACTATAGGATTCTGACGATGGTGTGTAACACACTGATATGTTAGGTTTTTGGACTTTATTCATTGTCCTAGTTTTTAAGATAACAAATAAAAAACACGACGTTTCGGAAACTGGATCTGTTTCCGTCCTCAGGTGAAGGAAAACCCTATTCAGTTGGGTCCGNCTGAGGGTGTTTGAGAACAGGGTGTTGAGGAGAATGGATTACTATTTACAATTTTTAAATATTTATGATATTCTTGGCCACAGATATTTATATCCACTATCCATACATAATTAACTTCTTATATTATTCTTCAGATTACTACACTAAGTACAACAATTTGCATACCCTGATGTTTTTCTTCTGCTCTGTATTGTCATGACTGTGGACTTCTTATAAGTTCCACAAGATCAAGTAATATCTTGGTACTCTGCTTTAATTTCCACGTCTAGGGAAGAAGAGGACCGGCATATAAACTTACTGTGGTATCAGATATATGGTGCTGACAATCTTGATGAGCCTAGAGGGAATTCTAAAATCATTAGGGCTCATCCAGTTCCACTTGCATCTCAGTTGCCACTCTTTGATAAAATAATGGCAGAAAAAGAAAATAGGTATATCAGTAGTCACTTAATGCACTATAAATCACTGATGTCTTAGTCAGAGATTTCACATGCAACAGAACAAAATTCTTGCAACTTATTATAAAGTCATCCTTTATTTTTGAAATGGAAGATTCAATCAATATTTTGTACTTGCAATCTAAGAAAGAGTTCTGATGAGTGTCACAAAGATTTCAAAAGATGAACAGTACTCTTATTCAGTGATGTAATGCTGTGTAACCTGGTACAAGTTCACCAACGATTGTGAGGAACTTTACTGCCTCCATCTTCAGGATCAAAGAATAGGCCAAGCAATTAGCCAGCAAAACGCAATGGCAACTTGCAAACTTACCATATTTTGTGAAAATCAGTGAACTAGTTCAAAGATTGAAATGGGTGGATGGATGAAAAAAAGACACACATTCACATACACATGGACAGCATGGAGATCTCATAAGCCTACTTTCTTCCCCATAATGAAGCAAAGTGGGATAGAAGTAGATAATGATGATTGAATGCTCTGGAAAATAACACTCTTTGTTTCATTTTCATGAAATTTGGATACAGTGGTGGAAACTTTGATTTCATTGCATGTTCCAAAAGTTCCTACTGTATTTTGGACATAAATAAATAAATAATTAACTAGTTGATATACATCATCTTATAGCCTAACCCATAAAGTTTTATTACAATGTCAGTAGTCCTCCATATTTACAGCCATTAATGGCTCTTGCCTCATCTAACCTAATTGAAATCTAGTCTACTTCTTTTTTCATTCCTTCCTTCCCTTGGCTCTACAGCTTAGGGTGAGCTTTGGTATCCTGATCAAACTGCCTCAATTCTTCTCTTTTCTTCATCTTTCCTCACCATCCTTTCACTTTCATTTTACGGACATCATCATGCATATCCTCCAATCATCACCACCTGGGTATTCCTATCTTCCTTTCGTATATATTTTACCTTGTAACATTTTTTTTTGGCATTAAAATTAGGCACACCTTCAAAAAGTTTATTCCCGATATATAGATCTTTCAATTTCAGCCTTAACTCCTATGCTGACATAATCATATATTTAGTTTTTTATACAGTTTACTATTAGCCCCATCTGTTCTGCTTCTTCAAATTCTTCACATACGTCTATTAATTTCCTTTTTGTTCTTCCTATTATGGCTATATCATCTGCATAAGCACAGATTTGACTAGACTTATTGCAAATTGTGCCCCGCTGATCAGTCTTCATAGTAGCTTTATGTAATACTAATATGAATAAGGTTGTGGGCAAGCCATCTCCTTGTTAAATTCAAACTCCTTACCGACTTTATTGCCAACCTTAACTTTGGCTTTAGTGGTATTTGTTGACATCTGTACCAGACGGATTAATTTCTTAGATTCCATATTCATACATTATCTCAAAAAGTTTATCTCTATTCACACTACCAAAGGTTTGTGTAAAGTCAATAAACAGTACATGCAAATGTAGTCCTTGTGCATAATGTTTCTCCGTCATTTGTGTACTGATAAAGAGCTGATCAATAATGCTATTATTAGGGGCGAAATCCACATTGGTATTCTCTGATTATCCATTGTTGTAATTTTCAAATTTTCACTTATTAAAATAGATAGTACTTTACATACCATATTTAACAAAGCAATACTCCTATATAAGATTTGAGGCTTTAATGGCGGTGACTATGAAGAAAGCAGTCTTCTGGGATTTGGTACCAAGTATATGTGGTGTTAACCGATGTTTCGGAGGAACGTATCGCCTCCATCTTCAGGGTAGAAGGAAAAATATAAGAAATCCGCAGGCTCTCTTCGCTTGCGGATTTCTTATATTTTTCCTTCTACCCTGAAGATGGAGGCGATACGTTCCTCCGAAACATCGGTTAACACCACATATACATGGTACCAAATCCCAGAAGACTGCTTTATTCAATATTCCTATAGTTGTTACAGTCCAGTTTATCTCATCTTTTTAAATATGAGGCACATGATTCTCAAGTTATCTGGACTTTGTTGTTTCCCAAATTAATGTAATTAATTTATGTACCGCTTTTGTTATTGCTTTCCCTCCATATTTAATTAGTGTTGCAGTTATATTAGCTTATTCTGGTGCTTTATTATTCTTTAATTTTTGTATATAATTCTCTACTTCTTCGTATGTGAGCGGCTCACATTGGCAATCATCCACTACTGGTCCAACGTTCCTTTTTACTATTTCAGGATCCTCGTTTCCTATTTCTGCATTCAGCAGGTCTTCAAAATATTCTGTCCATTAATCTAAAACTTCCATTTCTTCTAATATTCTTCCACCCTTGCTTTTGCATCCAGTCACTCTTGGTTGAAATCCTCTTTTTTTTTGCTGATCTACTGCTTTGTTGATTTTCCTTGTTTTATTTTGTTTTTTTAAATTTTTCGATTTCCTCAAGTTGTTTCTGAATCATTTCCTTCGTCTTCCTCCTACAAATCCTCTTTGCCTGCATTCTCTTTCCCTGATAATTCTCATAGTGTATTCTATTTTCTTTTTGAATTATTCTTTCTCTTGTTTTGTTTTTCTCTGCTATGCATTTAACACATTCTCCATCAACCCATTCTTCATTTCTCTTAACTTTCTTCTCTCTGAACTATTCATTTGCTACTCCATTTATGATACTTTATTTTTTTCTCTATATCTTCAGATCCTTCTGTGTCACGATCCTGCAGTCTCATTTGTAATTTACTTTCATACTCTTCCCTCACTTCAGGCTGTTCAATTAATTTATCTGTATCGCATATCTTCCTTATTATTTTTACCATTTTCTGTATGCTTGCTAGTTTTTTTGGATTTGTACCTTAATCAGATAGTGGTTGGAGTCAGAATTAGGGCCTCTGCAGCCTCAAACGTCTTTAATAGATGATGAATGTACATGATCACTCTAATAAACTTCTTTGTTGGTCACGGGTATCTTCCATGTTCCCAGGTGTATACGTTTGTGAGGGTAAACAGTGCTTTTAATAAGCATTTTATTTCTAGTTGCAAACTACTTCAGCATCCTTCCATTTTCATTGCTGTTCTCATGTACTGTGTGCATTCCAGCCATTTGTTTCTAATATGACTCTTTACCTATTTTAGCATTGAAATCACCGATCTCTATTAGCATATCATATCTTGGTGTTTTATGGCAGGTTTCCTAAAGTGTACTGTAAACACTTTCTTTTTCACATTTTCCTTCATCTTCTGTTGGAGGACATGCTGACATTATGGTTATATTCCTAAACCATCCTTTAACCATTCTGACCTCACATATTCTGGTGCCGATAGTTTAAATTTGTATTATATTATGTGGAATTGCCTTAGCTATCATAAATCCGGTGCCCAACTTTCCTGTCCTTTTTTCTGATCCATTGTAAATCAGAGTATAAGCATGTTTATCAATCCTTCATTGTCTGGTCAAACGAATTTCTTGTAATGCTACCATGTCTATTTGGAATTTTTGTATTTCATTTGCTACATGTATATCATGCATCTTCCCAGCCTGTAACACTGATCTCACATTCCACGTTGCCGTTATAATCTTATTCCTACTCCTTCACTGATGTCAGTTTCCTTTCAATCCATCCATCCATGGCTCATTACCTGGTTTCTGAACAATTTAGTTTTTATGGTGCAAGATTGTTAGCCTCATGCCCAACCCCCAACCTGGAGGACCAGGGTATTGTTCTTCATCTGGTTCCTACCCCTGGACCTGTCTGGCATGGGTGACACTACCAGTAGCTATGCTACCGCTGGCATAGCTCTCAGGGTCTCAAGAGCACTCAAACCCCACCACCACGATAAAGTGGAGATACCATCAGTGGGGAATTCTAGTCGAAACTGCGATGTATTCACAGTCACACTGATAATGATGCCCATTATCTGAGTCCATAGTTCTCCAGTGTCTGGTACAAATGTGTGATACACAATATCTTTATTATAAGCCCACAGAAATAAATGTAGTGGAGGGGTTTTTTAGGGATGTGGAGATACATTATGGTTCTTCCCAACCAATTAATTGTCCCAGAAATGTGTGCTAGAGGAGTGGCAGATCAGCATCTTGAGCGCTGTGTGAGGTTACAGTACCTAAAGTTGTGGAACCACTAACTACTCCAGCATGTCAAGGTACACAACCTCACTCACCGTGGGCTTGTCAAAAACAAAGGGCCATTAGGTCAGTCTTGTATGAGACTGCAATATGCATTCATCTTGTAGCTATCACTCACATTTCCAGCTGTCACAGGGGTGAGCAAGGAATTTGTTGTTTTCGTCTATGTGGTCAATCAGGCTGACAGCTCATATGTTGCAACATGATTGGTCATTTGGTTGCAGTAGCTGCAGCCACTGCAGATGAAACCATTCACAAAAGACACCATATGGGGTTGTTTGCTGTTGAACTTGTAATTATCATCGCTTCCCACTCTTAGTCCATACACTTGTCATCAAGAGATGGCATTCACCTCTCAGTTGTTGTAGCACTCTTCCCATCTGCAAGGATTTCTTTGACCACCCCTGATATTTGTTCTCGCATTGGTTGCTTCCCATATTGCTCTCTGTAATTACACTGCGCCATGGTCACTGTCTTAGGAGTCTGCAAGCCACATAGCATATTGGACATTGTTGCAATTTTTCATCCTTCAATTTGTTCTACAAGGAAGAAACAATGTCATCAAAGTCTTTTTCACTTGTGCTATAATATGCTACAAAGTACTATATTATTTTATGCAGGATTTAACGTTCTCACAGCGGTGGTTGTACTGTCTTCTGGGATATAATGCCGTATAGTCCGTTGAAAGTTAACTGACGTTTCAGATGCACATATCACTACCATCTTTGGATTTGACCCTGATGATGGAGGTGATATGTTCCTCCAAAACGTTGGTCGACTTCAACAGACTACAGTATTTTACAGTATTTTATGCTTACTAATTATTTTTTTTATTTATGTTCCATACATTGAAGATAATTTTGGAACATGCTGTATTAAAAAGAGTATGCATTTCTAGTTTTGGTCAACAAACGCACTTTCTTTCTCATATAAAGAAACAAACTCCGTGGCCTGTAGTCCGCAAGCGAATTATACCGCCGCTTATCGGCGAAGTTAGTGTCAACATTTGCGGACAGAGGGTGTTGTGTGGTCAGCGCAATGGATCCTCACGGCCGTTAATCTCAGTTTTCTAGACTGGACCCACTATTTCCTTGAAATAGGTCCTCAGTTATCCTCATGAGACTGAGTAGACCCCATTCCAGACCCACTACTTCTCAGAAAATCTGGTAGCGCCGGGAATCGAACCCGGAACCTCTGGATCTGTAGGCAGGAACTCTGAACCACTAGACCACAGAGGCGGTCTTCTTTCTCATATCCTACAGAAAAATGCTCCTTATGATATGCTGTAGGACAGTTTTAACAAAACATATCAATTTTGAATAGCACATAAAGCCTCTACAAGAGGTCCATTGAGTTTTATTGCATTGACAACACGTAAAAATACTGCCACAATAATAACACAAATTTTAAAAATCAAGAGAATCTGAACAGAATCAGTTACAATAAATGACTATCACAAATTTCTGCTCATCAGTTTGCTTCAGGCAAGTAAGGAACCCTATTTTCTAAGCTCTAACAGTATTTGTACATTGTTTGATGCAACAAGATGGAGTATGACTTTATAAACTTGCATGTGTACAACACACAACTTGCACCTGCCATCCACTGTACACTTGTTCTAGCATATGAGGCTACTAAACTGTTTAAATTCATGTCTCCAAAGTGGAAACACCTTGCGAGCTAAAATATGTATAAATATTTATTTTTAGTCGAGGAACAGATTGGCATTTTTTCATTAGGAAGTTTTCATTGTTATAAGTTGTAATTTACTGAGCATTTTTTAGTCTTATCATTTTTGTGGTAAAATAAAGCACTTGATATGGCTGTGCTGTGTGAGCATTATATGATATGATTTCATTTCTTTGGTTTATGTGTTAATGTTATTGTCATAGCAATCATTTTATTATTTAATATTTATTGCTTATTTTGTTTCAGTTAAGTGAGCATTTTATGCTACTACATGTGATGGAATCCAACATGGGAAGCTGATTTCTGTGGACACAGTCCAGTCACACTTCAACATAGTTTTTCTTTATTTAAATGAAAATCTTTTTAATAGAATGAATCAATTCACAATCTAATACAATTATGCTCTGTAGGATAGCTCGGTCAGTATAGCAATGGGCTACAGGCTGGATAGTCCGGGTTAGATTCCCGGCAGTGCAACATTTTTCTCTTCTTCCCAGCTTTGGGGCACACCCATCCCCATATCCAATGGGTATGAGAGGATCTTTCCCCAGGGGTAAAGTGACAGGCGCGTGAAGCTGACCACTCACCTCCAACTAGTGCCAAGGTCAAGAATTGTGAAGCATAGTGCTTCACTAATTAAGCACAGGGACAACATTACCCTTTTTAATATATGTTTATGCTAGAAGCTGTAGGACGATCAGGGCTTAAGTTGTACTAAAAGAAGAATCAGAATGGAAAAGCGTTTACCGAGTTGGAGGGAGGGAAAGCGAATGTAAGAATAAACCTTAATAGATGTATCATGCTTCACTTTACTTCCAGTGTTTCATGTAGGATATTTTAATGTAAGTACAGCACTATCCATACTGATGGTTTCTACTTTAATGTCCCATACTGTAGTCACAACTGAAGGAATGTGGGGTTATTACCTTACTTGCACTCACCATATAAAATTTAACTTAAAAACACTACAAAAATCTTAATCCCCTGAAATGAGAATATAAAACATAAAGTTCACTCTTCCTGAAGAAATTCTATGTCTTTTTGAAAGTTACAGTGATCTCTGTAAGCGTATAACTACACAGTATGTCAAACATGTATCAGTAATGAAAGTCAGAAGAAGGAAGCAGCATAAATATAATATCTGTGAAACAAAGTGCATTACAGGCATATTACTGCAATGTAAACAATGTAATTTACTAATTCATCAGCACTGTGCAGCATTCATAGAACATACAAAATATGTGCACTCTGGTACATAGCACCATCCAATGAAGAAGAGGCGAGACAAGTGGTGAGGAATGGTTGACCATGCCCATTCTGCTGTTCATTTAGGGACACATTCAGCTTCAGTATGCCAGCAGCAATGGTATGGGTTTTCCAAAAATATCATTAAATGTTTTCAGCTTGCCCAGTACACTTGATTGTCCTTGGTAATTCTCTCACCTTCTCTTCATTAAAGGGTAGTACTTCAATCTGTTACTCATTGCACACTATAAACTCATGCTGTGTCTCTGCGTAGGAGCCGATATGTGAGGAGACAATGCATAAATGAACTAAGAGCACAAATGAAGCCATTCAAATTCATGAAATGTGATGAAGAAAGGAAACTGTTACCAATTTGCCACTCATCACCAGACCTGAGAGATTTTGGCGACATATCACCAAAACCATTTAAGGCTAAACCAGTACCAAAAAATTTGTTCAGTAATTATATCTACAAAAGAATGAGAGAAGATGAATACTACAGGTAACAACATTCTCTTAGCTTAGGCTAATCCATGTTACTGACCAATCACACACTTGATCTCTGGGTGTAAGGCCCTTTTAGCTGCTATAATTATAATGGACTTGCAAGAAATGAAACCAAGATTATGGCAATTATAATTTTGGTGAGAACTTCCTCTGCACCAGTTGTACTTCCATTATATGTTCAGTGGAGCTTTGTTTGAGACAACAGGGTTCACCCCATCAAGGTTAGGTCTGTTTTAAGGTAGGCAGTACTTCAAAAGATGTATACTGACTTGCACGCACATTTTATTTATTATACATTAATACTCCAATCAAAAAGTGTTTGTCATTACTGAATGACTTTTCAGTTGACTGCCCTCCCACACAGGTGCATTTACATTGGTTAGTTTTAATAAATTTATATCAAATTAAATTTGTTCAATAGCTTAAAGAAATTCTGTTACATTTTATTGTGTGTTTGACAATATTAAAAATCCATTATAGAAGAAATCAATACAGGTATCAAATTTGGTCCCTTACAAACTGTAGGTGTTTGAGAACATGGTGCAGAGGAGAATATGTAATCTATTAGAGAGGAAGAAACAAGAGGGTAGAGAAAAATTCACAGAATTCATAATTTGTACTCTACACCTATTATTACTATGGTGATCAGATCAACTATGATGAGATTGGAACAACATGCAGAACACATGGGCAGATGAGAAATGCATATAATTTCTTATTAACAACATTTCACTGAGAGGTACTAGATTTAATTGGCTTGTGTAGGGCCCATTGATGGGCTTCTGTAAAAATCTAATGAACCTCTAGTCTTGTAGCATTAGTCAATTGATAGATGAGCAATTACTGGCATTACTTTCTAGAGAGAGCCTGCACTGTAAGTTTCATTTATTTATTCACCTTCCATAAATCCTGTCGAGAGTACATTCTCATGCGGATGTAGAGATCATCCTACTTACAGTCACAACTGAGGATTACAGTTTTCATCCAGTAGCATACACATTTGTATAAAATACTGATAAATATATACAATATAATAAATAAGTTAATTTTAGTAGTAAAAGTAATGGCAAACCTTATACAATTTGTACATTTTTATACAAGTCTATTAATTAAAAATTCAATAGTTAAAACACAATGTCATTAATGAGTTTTGTATAACATACATTAATTATATAATAAATTGAAATAAAGACTAGTATACAGTAATATAAAGATTGTGTATATCTAAAATAAGCATCCAAAAACCAGAACACAGACTGACAATCTTAGTTAGTTAGTTACTTACTTACTTACTATATTGGTTCCAGAAATCCACATTTTGCAATGTTAGATAGATAAGTTTAGTTAGATAGTTGTAGGAAATCATGGTTCTTGATACAATTTTGAACAACTATGTATTTCAGAGCTCTCAAAAAGAAGGTACGAGCCGAAGAATTGTTGAGATCTTCTTCCTTACCCCCCTCTATGGCAGCCAGAGAGAGGCTGTCCAAAGCTAAAGCACTGTCAGCTGAAGTTCTGAACAGTGATTCAGACAGGCCAAAGAGAAGAAAACACAAAATCCCGAACTATAAGAAAAATCACGAAGAAATCCAAAAACAGTTGGAAGACAGATGGAATGACAATATCACAACTAGTCCAGAACCATTCACACTGAAAACTGCAGAGCTGCACAAAAGAAAGGTATATCAACCTGTGATGTTTCAGTTTCATTCTGAATCGATTAAGGGGGTGGGAATTAAATTACATCATTATTTTCAATCTACAGTTCATCCCCTTTCTACAATTCAGCCCTCGAGCCATCTTTCACCTTGCATGAAACCTAGTTCCTTGTTTAATACACCCTTATGACAGTCACTTGGTTTCATGAAGTGAGCTTCCAATGACATAATCTCCATCCAGCTGGAACCTCAGTCACAGAGGATTTGTAAGGCCATTTTTCCTCTTTCATGACACCTTCTGTAGCTGGTTCTGTTTACCACTCACATTTTCAACAGATGTCCCTTCAAATGACAGTGTCCTACTGAAGTCCTGTCATGTTTCAACCAGTTCCTGTTCAGCTCCAATAGTTTCCTAATTCTTTTAACAGAGGGCTCCAGAATGAAACCTTTGGCAAATCTCTGCCTAGGTGTGAACTGCCAATATTCTTGGTGTCTCATGTTCTTCCAGTCACTGATGACTTGCATAGTGACTCCTCCTGATATAAGGCATCTTCTGATGTCAAACTGAGTTTCATCACAGTCCAGTATGCAGCACTGGTGCTTCATATTTTTGAAGTCACAGGTTTCCCAGAAACAGGCTACACTGGATGAGGTTCTTCATTTTATTCTTCAGTCTCTTTAAGTGAAATTCTGGTACAATATCTTAAATTAGACTGTGACTATAACCTTCCACATCCCTTGCAATTCATCATACATTATTGTACCATCATTCAACACTATATAGTCTGAGCTACTGACACCATGGTTAAATAAACCATAAATAAGTAACATAACCATTCTGAGAACAAGAGGTAATCTCATGCCGTGACACGAGTTAACCCATTTACCAACTTGTGATGACCAAGGGAACTCACAATGCTCCTTGGTTTTCAGAATGAAATGTAGGGCTGCTGCATAATCGAAAATGAAACTCATACATTGCTGCTACCACTCAGTTTAGAATCTCTTTCCTTCCTGCTTCTTGCCTGAAAATGTAAAGAATAAGTTATATTAAAGTGTAAAAAACTATCATTTTCCTGTTGTCTTATATGGGTAGAATAATATAGAGGGTGTATAAGAAAAGGAAATGAAGGTGACTGTTTGGACCTCAAAGAGAGGCAGAAATAGGAGGATTGAAACAACTGCACAATGTGAATAATTTATTCTTTTCATACAAATAATATTACAATGATCAAATCGACTGGCTATATAGTATATTTAGTGAATTAGTTTCTGTTGCATTCAGTGTTGGTTTCTTTTGAAATTTATTACCTGTTTATTTATTTCAGCCAGCAAAATGTACCTCTCCAGATGAGAGGTCCAGTGTATCTCCATATGAGGTATATCCTTCTCCGGCTTCTGAGAGGCGTGTCCGACCTCAGACAGCCTTAGGCATCCCACTCAGTAGAAATAACTTGGCTTCTGTTCTAAGGATTCAGTCTTCAAGGTACTGAATCAGTAACTTATACCTACTTAAAGCTTAATATTTTCAATTACAGTTTCATCAGTTCAAATTAGATGAGATCATATTATATTTCACAACTTCCTAGAACTATAAATTAATATTATACAATTCATGATCTATTTCTATGTATAATTTGCACTAGTTCCTATTCTGCACTTAAAGTTGTCACAACATCAAAGTTGTGTAGTGCTGTTATAATTTGTAATTTGCAACACATAAAAGATATTTTCATATAGACTTTGTAGGTAAATTTGTCCTTACAATGCTAAATGCTGAATGCTAAATATTGATTTTTAATGGCCATCATTTTGTTGTTTTACACGATACAAAAGTATTAACATGGTAAAAGTTCTTTTTTAATCCTTAACCACACAAAATGTCAGAACTCTCATGCTAAGTGGCTTTAGTGTCATTTCCACCTCCAAAGTTCACATGGCCACTATATTAGTATCACTGGTAGAAAATGAGAAGGCTGGTCTTATAAACATTAATGAACTTTTGGGTGCCATATAATGCAGGGAATTTCTTGACTAGCTGAGTGACTAATAATATCTCATGGAGTACTCTGGTCAGTGGAGATATTTGGTTAGAAAATTGAAAGTACAAAAGCGGGATGATTTCATTGTGCTGTGATGCTGATACCAGGTTTTTGAAAATATGTTGATTTGGAAATTGCTGGGTTGGGACACACATATATGGATTCAGGGGCATGATAATACCTTATAATGTGATGAAAGCAGGGGACAGTTAGATTAAAATGGAATGTACTTTCGAATATCAAAATGCCTGATCACCATACTTCCACAGACACGCAACTTTAGAATTGTCCTGTATTTGTGGATATTATATCTCAAGAGTATGCTCTTCTGGGTTGTAGGTCTGTGTAGTCTAGAGACAATTCAATATATCAGAGGAACATACCATTTCAGGGTCAATGAATGAGCCAAGCAAGAAACCAGCAGAAGCAGGCAGAAAACTGAGCTCAGCTGGTTTCTTGCTTGGCTCACTCTTTGATCTTGAAAATGGATATAATATGTTCTTCTAAACCATCAGGCTGTCTCCAAACTACAGAGAAGGCAATACTCTGCTTAGCTGCTGCCCTGAGAACCTCAAATCTAATCATCATATATCTCCATTGTTGTGGGATTTAGGCAGCGCATGGAACAAGAATTAGCCATAAGACAGGCCGAGAATAGAAAGAAGGAAGAAACAAGATTTAAGGCACATTTTATGCGTCTTAAACCAGCATGGCAAGCTCTTACCTACAGCACAGAGGAAGACTTGGCCATGAGAATTCAAACTCGGCGCGAAGAAGAAAGAATTCGTAGACAGGAGTATGAGCAAGACATGAAACTCATGCTCGGTCGAGTACAGAATATACCAACACTGTTTGAGAGACAATCACAGGTACAGTAATAGATTTTTGACTACAAATTCAAATCATGGTATCTGACAAATATATTATATTGCTTGTATATTGCAGAACATCTAACATCAACAACAATGACACTATCACTTTTACAACCACAAGCTCTATACACCATGCTTTCCCATTATCCTATATACTAAACTCCTTTATCTCTTCAAGTCTGTTCATCTTCGGTGGGATTACTAAGTGATGAAAAACAGATTAGTTTTAGTGCATAAAGCAGTCTATGTTCACTGATATTTATAATCACTTTCTGTAGTGTATAAAGGTATCTATCTCGACCACTCATATTTGCTTGGCAACTCCCCCATATGTCTTCATTTTGGAGTACTAAATTATGTAGTTAAGCATAGGACAACTTTTACTTTAACCATTTAAGGCAAAAATTGATTACTGTTGCAGCACTAAAGTAGTAAATAACGGAGTTTTTATGGGATATCACATCCCTTCATACTTTCATTTTAGTCAAAGGTGTGCACACGTGTGTGTGTGTGTGGCAGGGGGGAGAGCACATGCACATGCATGTGTGTGAAGTTATATATAGGCCTATACTGATTCATAATGAAGAAGCAATTTCACTGTTCAAGTACAGTTTTAAGAAAAAGCCAGGGGAAGAATGGGCACCTGTGCGTGTACATAAAAGCTTTTATCTTCCTGATCTGTCTGTCTGTCTGTGTCTGTGCATGTGCATGAATGCACGTGTGTAATAAGCAGATACAATATGAAATATAAAAATGATGTCATAAATAATGCTATTTAAAAGTATAAGGTAAAAAAAGTAAAGCTATCCCTGTAACAGGCCATGAAGACGTATAGGGTTGTGAGACATAGAGGCTCTCACATTTTCTAGACAGTCAGCTAACAGATGGCAGTAAGGTTGTCATCCTTATGTGCCAGCCGCCCTTTAAACCCCCAGGAAAATTCGTGGTACTCATTTCTGTTAGAGGCTGATTCAGTCCCAGGGCCATAGTGCAGCTGGAAGGATTAGGTAAATTGAAAAAATCCAATGACCTCATCGGGACTCAAACCTGCGACCTTCCGGCTTGTAGCATAGTGCCTCAACCAACTATGCTACCGTGTGTCCCTATTTAAAAGTGATATGAATCACTACATAAAATATTAATTGAATATTGTGTTTTACAATGATGACTGCATAAGTACAGCAGTTCACCTTACTTCAGAGAGATATACTGTACATGATTTAAATCAATGAGATTAGAGAGTTTTAATGATATGAAGTATATTTTCATTATCCCACTGAACAATTTGCATAAGTAATAAATAAAAATCAAGGGGAGCTGGAATAGCACAGTTGGTAGAGCAAATGGCTAAGGGCTGGACTGCCGAGGGGTTGGAGTTTGAGTCCCAGTAGGGACAAGATATTTCTCCTCCACATCATCCAGATCGGTTCTGAAGCCCACGAAGTCTCCTACCCAATGGGTACCAGGGCTTCTTTCCCCAGGGGTAAAGTAGCTGGAGCATGAGGCTGACCACTCACCCATACATCTTCATGGCATAGTCCTTAATTAGNTTTCCCCAGGGGTAAAGTAGCTGGAGCATGAGGCTGACCACTCACCTCCAACTAGTGCTAAGTTCAAGAACACATGGATCTATACATCCACTCACCCATACATCTTCATGGCATAGTGCTTAATTACTTAAGCACAGGGGCAACTTCATTGTTTTATTACTTTAATGAATAAACACGAAGATCAATGCGGTGTGCAAAATTCCCAAGAATACATCTGGGAAATACTCATATATATGTAACCCACAGTGGAATACACCTTTCCCCTGTTTTAACCATTTAACTGTATCACAAGGGGGGCACGCAGTGGTGTAATTGATTAAGGCACTATGCTACAAGCTGGAATGTCGTGGGTTCAAGTCCCAATGAGGTCATCGGATTTTTTCAATTGACCTAATCCATCCAGCCACACTATGGCCCTGGGGTCAACTCAGCCTCTAACAGAAATGAGTACCAGGTATATTCTTGGAGGTAAAGGGCAGCCGGTGCAGAGGGCTGACAACCTTGCCGCCATCTATGAGCCGACTGTCTAGAAAATGTGGGAACCTCAACATCTCACAACCCTATGGGCCTCCACGGCCTGTTACAAGGATATCTTTACTGTATCACAAGACTTGCAAAACTTCTGTCCCTACCATTTCTATTACATCACATTTTCCCTGTGAATATATCTTTTAAGATTACAATGGACCAAAGATGGTGACAGTTTTATATAGAGCAGTTTAAATAATTATTTATATGTGAGTTCATTTAACATGCAGTGGGAACAGTTAGTGTTATTTTTTATGTTGTTCACCATCCATTTTGTCTAGCCAGTGAGTGTTTCACTTATGTTTAAGAGCTTAGGTGTCATCCAGCTTCATGATTCTTTCAAATTTATTAATTTTATTGTACTTCATTTCATTTCCTTTTTCAGCCAGTGGTGAAGGAAGTACAGAGAAACCATGGGAAGTCTCGCAAGAAATCACGACAAAACATGAAAATCAGTTCTACTCCAACTACTCCAGATTTGTATGAAGAAGATGAAAGGGAAGAAAATGATGCAAATCAAAATGAATTTTCGAATGACAGAAATACAAAAATGAGGTTAAGAGTGTCTATCAGTGAAACTCCTGAGACAGTTCAGCATTCAACCACGACTGAAAATGTTGGAGAAACTGAAATCAGGGAACATGATGAAAATGAAGATCAACATGAAGTAGTGAGTGAAGAAGAAGATGAAAAGAAAGATGTAGAAGAAATTAAAAAAAGTAAAAATGAAGAAGAGGAAGAAGATGAGTCTGAACAAACTGCAAGTATTCAAGAAGACATTTCAGCAGGCAGAACCACTGAAGATGATGAAGACGGAAATACATACTCTATTGATGAAAAGTAGGTCTATATAAGAGAAATCTTGAACCATTACACTTTTTACACATGACTAAGTAGCACAGTTCATCAAGTATAACAAGTTTAATAGGAGAATACAGAACTTTGCCACTACTGGCCATCATCAGAAGGTGCAGCCAACACTATAAAAAATTACTTTACATATGAACATAGAAATTCCTTTGTCACAACTTACATTCAAAACCATTCATTATGGTTTTGCCTACACCTTCTGTTGATCACCAGTAGCAGCTGAAACATGTAAAGGCAAACTTTCATATTCCCTCTTTAAACTTGTTACACTTGGTGGATCTTACTGCTTATTCATGACAAATAAGTAGCTTCACAGAATGAAGTACTGACAAACCAATCACTGGAATATGAATACTGTAACAGTGAGATACTGATATACTTTGTCATATACTGACTAAAGATAAACTTTTATATATTTTAACAAAAGTAAATGATGAGTATTAAAAAGTTACATCAACATTTCTCAGCTTGAGAAGTTGTCTTTGTTCAGCAATTACTGTTCAAAAATTATGCAACATGGTCATTTGAACTACTACTAGCACTGGTTGGAGCCAGGATAGCACAATCAGTATAGCAACAGGCTATGGGTTGGATGGGTGTGGTTTGATTCCTGGCATGGGCAAGAGATTTTTCTCTTCTCCACAGAGTCCAAACCATGTCTGGGGCCCACCCAGCCTCCTATCCAATGCATATCAGAGGCTCTTTCCCCAGGGCCAAAGCAGTCAGGGTGTGGAGCTGCCCACTCACCTCCATCTAGTGGCAAGGTCACAAATGGTGGAGATATACCTCCATTCCCTCACATGTCTTCATGGCATGGTGCTTAATTAAGCATGACTTTACCTTCACCTTTTACTAACACTGGTTGAAAAACTTCTACTCCACTGTTCTTATCATGAAATTGACAGAAGATTCAAATCAGGCCCTTCTTCTAGAAAATGCAAAACAATGATAAATTAGCAGTATACATTTATTTCCATGTTTGAGTGATGACTCCATGATGTGGTGGGTTGGGCTGCTGATATTTTAGAGAACCTGTTTCCACCTTCAAGGTGAAGAGAAAGAAAGGCCTGGCACTGATATTTAATAGTTCTGAGCCATGAAGCTCTGCAGAATTGTATTCTCTGATGGTGTATATGTGGATAATAACAGATTCAAAATGGAAGTTCCATCACTTCTCATATAGAAATAGCCAGGTTCTACAGAATGTTCATTCATTCTCTGAAAAATCAAAACGAGTTTAATTGCTTCCTATCAAAGAAAATACTAATCAATATTTTACTTAAAATACTTATGCATCATGTTGCATCTGAGGTTCACATAGCAGTGACTGAAGTAGATTCTATAGGGTTTTGATTATGGTGGATGACATACAGAATTACTGGGTTTTTGGACTTTTTCCATCGTCCAGAATTCTAGGTAATAGAGGACTCCACGTTTTGGAAACTGGATCTGTTTCCGTCCTCAGCTGAGGACTGAGGTGATCGAGATTAGCTCTTTCTAAGGGGCCCAACTGAGTAGGTGTCTTCCTTTCTCACCTGAAGATGGAAACATATCCAGTTTCCAAAACATTGTGTCCTCTACTACTTAGAATGTCCTCTGTTATCTAGAATTCCAGATGATGGATAAAGTCCAAAAACCCAGTAAATCTAGTGACTGAAGTGTATACAATGTTCTGAGATTCTGTGCTACGTAGTCTTGTAGAAGTCCACTAATAGTTCTGTTATATGTACATCGGCCGCGCCATAGCTCAAGCGGTTAGTTGCTGGCTTCCCACTGTGGCAGCCCGGGTTCGATCCTGGGTGTGGTCAAGTGGGAATTGANCACTAATAGTTCTGTTATATGTACATCGGCCGCGCCATAGCTCAAGAGATTAGTCGCTGGCTTCCCACTGTGGCAGCCCGGGTTCGAGCCTGGATGTGGTCAAGTGGGAATTGAGGTGGACAAAGTTGCACTGGGGCAGGTTTTCTCCGAGTACTTCAGTTTCCCCTGCCAATCTTCATTCCACCAAATTCTCCATCATCATAATCACCCAGGGCAGGCTACAATAGGCCAATCAGTGGCCGCCATGCTGAATGGACCCAGTTGGACTCCATTCCCCACTAAGCGAATTAAAAAAAAATTATATGTACATCATTGCACAGCGTGCTTGCAGAATCAGTGTTAATACTAGTAAGTGATTATGTAACTGTCTGAATGTGTCTGATGTGAATGTACAAATGTTTTACAAATATCATCCTGCCTATTTCATAGTGATGTAACATCAATTAGTCCTAGTACTCTTTAAGTATGATGGAAAATGAGCTAAGATGACAATAATTTTCATTACTCATAGCTTTGGAAAATCTTCCAGGTGTAAAACTGTCCTCTGATCTCTCCTTTCCCATCTGCATAATAAATCCACAGAGTTCTGCTTTTAATTTTAAATTTCTTCTTAAATCTTATTCATTAACATACAGCTTCTAAACTCCCAGTGCAGTAGGTGCAGGCCTAGGATTTTAAATTCCCTTAAATGTCTAAAATGCAGCATTTCAGAAAATATATTTATTCCATATTTAAGGTTATAAGCTCCAAATAAAAACTGGACTGTTAAGAATTACTTCATTTATCTGTATTCAAAATTTTGAAATAGACAGTCTGTGTATACACAATTGGTTTATATTTCTTTCATATTTTCACACATTCTCTTCAGGGTTATTTCTTACTTAGCTCTGAAAAGCGCCAGAAACTTTTGACGATAACTGTAAATTGCCTAGCTGTGAATTATTACTACTTCTTCCCACCTTAGTTTGGGACTGCTCTCCTGTCAAAACAAGTCACCATAAACATAACTTTGGCCTTTCTAGTCAAAGATTCTGCTATTCTAAGAAAAGAATGAGTGGGTATACCATGGGGTAACATTCGCCTGTCTGACTCAACCGTCAAGATTAGCTGTGACAGGAAGCAAACAGAGCTGGGATCATTCTATTTCAAACCCTTAAAGTAAGTTCTGGGTTCCTTATCTCCTCTCTCAAACCATAAAAACGAGAATTTCAAAAGAAAATTCTTGAACAAAGATGAGCCTCAATATTTGAGAACAAATCACAGGCATCTGAGAAAACACTCTAAACAAGAAAGATGACGAGGAAGATGATATGACAGAATAAGCTCCAGTTTCAATCTGCCAAGAAGTATACATTCTGTTTCCATGGAAACCTGGTAACTGAGCTGTTGTATAGCAGCAGATGGTTTCTAGCTCGCGACTGACAACTAGTGTGCTGAAGGTTTACATCTTTATACGCTGTCACTAATGGCATGTGAACCAGTGGGCATTGCAGTTGCTGTGGTCCATAATGATCAGCTAGCACTTAATTCAATATGAGTGGCTATTACAAATTCTTCTAAACATTGCATATTCAAAATATTATGCCCCTTCTGAATATTTGGATGTGGTCAAAGTTATAGTACTTTTCAAGGAACGATCATTTCAATTGTCTGATATATCTGGATGCAAATATGATATGAACATTTACTCAGAAAAGGACAGAACACATATGACTACAGATATGACAACATATGGAACTGCAAAACACATGACAGAAAATATAGGACATGGACATGAGCTATATATGGATAACTTCTATCAGTCACCTGACTCAACGATCTCAAAAACAAGAAAATCAACTGTTGCAGGCAGTCAGACCCAAAAGAAAGGAATGCTAGAGAGCTCTGCTTGCTGCCTACTTCTTGTTGGTTTCTTGCATGACTTACTCTTTGACCCTGAAAATTGAGAGAGCATATTCCTAAAAATGTTGGTGCACTTCTACTGAATTACATGGCATTTTATACCAGAGGATATTACTTTCCAGCTTTCCATCTGCTTTCTGCTGATTTCTTGCTTGACTTACTCTTGACACTGAAGATGGAGGCAGCCTAGTTTTGTAATCTCTAAAAGAAATTAAAAGGAGGCTTATGAGATCACCTTGCTGTACACATGTCTGTGTCCCTCCCCTAATGCTGAATGCTGGAATACTGGAACCAGAAGACACAGCCATTGCTAGGTAACGGCTCAATAAACACGTTCCCATGGCAACAAATACCCATGCAACAACAGAAGAACTGTTCGATATGGAGTGTTCTATGTGGTCCATTTCATATAAAATAATATACAGTGAAAGGAAAGTAGGTGATTAGTTCTTCCCAGAACTTCTTGTTAATTATTATAGTAAAGAAAAGAAGGCATGTCTTCCACACAGTCACACCACAAAGTGACAACTGTCTTATCTGTGTCAAATGTATCTAAATATCAGTTGTACTCACAGTATTGATTTGTCTCTGACACCAACAGTTGGGTCACTGCAATGAAGTATAGTCAGAAGACTAATTTGTGTACAGTCCTTGTTTACTTAGGTGCCTCTTTCATCCTTGGTCTCCTAAGAACTACAATTAAAAAATATGGATACCACCAGAATTTGTAGGAAGTTGTAGTGTTAACAGAATTTAGTGTTTCAAGCTATGCTCACATTGCTACTGTGTCTTTCACTGTCTGATGAGACTGCTTCACCAGAGTCAGCCTCCAGAATGAAGCCCTGCTCAGTATCTTCTTTAGTCATCAAATTTTGTAAAAAAATAAATTACATTCTGTTGACAGTAATAACATAGGCCTTCCACTCTTGCATTCAGCATAACAGCCCAAGACAGCTCAGTTGTGGTCCACACCTCCTCACTCCCAATTCCCCCCTCTGCTATAACCCTTTATAACTCTCTTTCCTTTTGTCACTTTCCCACTGGACAATAGTCCAGCTGGTCATTTCTGATCGGTGGTCTATATCCTCTCACTCCACCCCCTTATTTTCCTCCAAAAGACATACCAGAAACTTTTATTTCTCTGTGCCACTTTCCTATTAGAACAAGAGAATGCCAGTTAGGTGGTGTGTATGAAACATCTTATGAATAAGGCTTTATCCCACATGCTACTACTACTTCTTCCACCATCACTTCCCATATCTACAAATACAGGACAAAATGGTTACATACTTTTTCCTTAATTCCATCTCAGAGTTGATAATTCCCAAATCAGTGGGAATAGGAATGGGGTACTGAAGGCGAATAGAACTTTCAATCAGGAATGACCTTGTTAGATTAGTTGTTTGTAAATAACTCTCAGTATGGAAGCCTAACACAGATCTGTATAGAGCAATGGAGGAAATTGTGGTAGTAGTATGCTAAACATAATGGCTATAGGCTAGTTCAAAACAAATTGGAATTTTAGCAGCATATTTACTCCACCCAAAGATTGGGCAATGAAAATACTTGATGCTCTGACCACCCAGTTGGTAGAGGCCGATATGCTGTCATATAATTTGTCCTCAGTAGAGACCCTTTTAATGACATCCCAGTTTATGATGTTCAGTTAGGAAATACACTACATATTTGGACAATTAATATGACTGCTAGATATGCTGATCCAATTATTAGCAATTATTCTAACTTCAATTTATGAGATACGTTAGTTACTCTGTAATATGATCCAATATCCATTCCAGATATGCAGACACTCTTGTGTAGACACTAGGTGTGGTTTGGGCCCCACAAGGGATAGATCCAAATGAAACAAGGCCCACTTGGAAGATCTGGGCCGTGCGACGTGTTGGAAGCTGCACAACATCCATGAGGGGGCCTCCACTGTCTCCTTTGCAAGCATCTTCCCCACTGTTCCCTGCAGCACACAGCTGTGTATCTCCTAAAGGGCGAACCTCTGCTGCTTGGCGAGAGTTGCAGTCCTCTAGAGGAACACTGTTTACAGTTGCAAACTGGAGAACAGCACTTCCTTTAGGCTCATCTGAAATGTAATCAGAATAATGTTACAGGCAACATCACTGCCATGTGGAGTTTGGGATAAATTCACTTCTCACTTTACTCCTTACTAGGTGTTATTCCTTGAAATTTAAATTATTTTACTTTATATCAAGCAAAGACAGGACATCAGACAATGCCACTTCTTAATCATCATGCTCAGTGGCTGATTGTATTTTCTACAAAATTAAATCCTTTTGTTTTACTGTTTCCTTCTCTGGAAATTTCTAGATCGCGTAAAGTTTAATGCATAATATTCTCTATGTCCATCATTCACAGCTAGGCAACCATATTTGGTTTAATGCATAAAGTGATATAATTGGTAACTATAAACTTTATCATCATGAGGCAACCTTGTGGTAAATAATAACATAGGATGTGTAATATCACATCCTTTCACTTTCAGAACATGGATTTAATGACAAGATAATTCAGTATAGTCCCTTGCAGCACAATAACTTTAATGCATCTGTTAAGAATTTAATGCATCATATATAAAATCCACATTTTTACAAGCACAAAGTAAGAATTTATTAAAGAGCTGTGTCCTGTAAAAAATAAACAACTTCATTATTTCAGTATGTTTTCTAAGAAAGACCTGTATACAAAATGAACACTTAAGCTACTTCAGTATAAAACTCCGCTCTTTTGTAGTAATATCCTATAACAATTCACCAAATTTGCCACCTGATGGCTGCAAATTATTCCCTGCTCATGTGCTATTGTTTTGGATTGAAAATGAAGTTTCACTTATGAGTAAGGGTCCAATAGTTTAGATATTCCCTTATACTACTGAACCAACACAGCTCAGCTGGTATAGTGACTGACTGGACCAGGTTTGATTCCTAGCAGGGTTAAGATTTTTCTCTTCTCCATAGCATCCAGAATGGCTCGTGGAATCTCAACTCCTTCAATGAGTGTTGTCTGCATACAAACAAGGATAAGTGGATAAATATTTTATGTGTATAAATCTGATGCCAGGTACTGTGACCTTCAATTTTCTCTCTTTTCATATGCCTCCTTTCTGTATTTTACATATGAATACTGACACAGGATATCATATCCACATGTTCATGTATGTAACTGTCCACCACGATAACTTTTGAACAAACTGAGTAACTTTCATTAACTATGTACAAATATTTTATCATTGTCAGCCAGCTTATCTGTACCTCTTGGGGAACTAGTTATGTTAATGTAATAGCTGTGAAATTCTGTGAGGTATGAATGACATAACTGTCACATGCTGTAGAATCTCTATATTTTATATGACAATAAATCTTTAAAAAGAACACATTTGTTGAGATACAGTAATTTTGTAGGATGTAAACAACATGGTAGCTCTGAAAAATGTGTAATAAGCTTTCAGTTTTATTGTGATGAACTAACAAAGTAGGCTTTTCAAATTCTTTATTGAGACAGACCATAAACATATACATAAATTTCATCTGAGATACCTGTGGGGGTTTGAGTTGTTACTTCAATGACAACCCACTTCTTCGGAACAGTTTGTAGGTCCTGAAAAGGACCGTTGGTTGCTGAGATGCTTGGCCGGTGAAGTAGCGCGGTGCGCGCCCGTAGGAAGGGATGTTGGTTGCGATGGATGTTCACTGGCCGCAGTGCGGCCGTTGCTGGAGGTTGCTTGGTTCCTGGAAAATGTTTGCTTGTCGAGAACAGTCGCAGGAGTGGAGAGGCAGTAGCTATGCCAGTTGTCCAGTGAGTTGGGCATGACTACCGGCGAATCGAGGCAGCCGAGTTGCCCAGTGAGTCGGGTGTAAGACCGCCGGACAGCCGAGGCAGTCATGCCTGGCGCAGCGAAGTGCCAATGCCTCCGAAGACCGAGCGCTGGTGACGAAGCGTGCTGTTTGTTTGTAGACTGCTTGAAGACTGCTGATCGTAGACTGACTACTTGCGAGCTTGTGCTCCGCGTTTTATACAATGCGTGATGGTGGAGCAAAAATCTGCTGAGCGCCGGTTGGCTAGCGCGTGCTAGCGCGTGTAATGATGTGGATGCGGGCTAGCAGCAAGTGCTGTATAAATGCGGACATTGGAAGAAATCTGATTGGTTAGCGCGCGTGATGATGAAAAAGTGAGCACTGTAGAAATAGCGTGATATGTGGGATGTTCCCACATACCATTTACACATCAAAAATTACAAACATGGAAATGATGCAAAACTTTTAAGAGTAAATCTGGTAAATGCAACACAGAATATAGTATATTCATGAAAATAATCCACAGAACTCTCCATTAAACAATATAATTATTAATTTACAATGCCTGCTACCCCCACCACATATACTGTAACATTTTAATAAAACAGATGTAATAGCTATATTTATGTGCATAAAATAAATAAGCAGGTTATTCAGAATCAAAGGAAACATCATAATGCTACAGGTAGGCTGACTGCTTATTTGGCCTTACCCCTTGTACCTCCCACAACTTCTAGTCAGTCAGTTCTGGAACAGGTACACAAGAAGTTATGTTCACAGACACTACTGAAATATATGCCCTCATTCTCTGGCTTGAAACCATCTGTTCAAGCATAAAAAGAAACTAAAAGGTAAAATGAGAAGGAAACTCACCAGATGTCATTGAAAATTCTCAAAGTGATCACTGGCAGCCCTTAAACATACCTCGCATCTTCAAAGGTATCCTGCAAAACATGCTGAACTTTGTCAGCAAAAACTGAACCAACCACATTCCTTATCTCATTTTGGAGAGCTGCAGCAGTGCAAGGTGTATTTGTGAACACTTTTCTGTTTAGGTTCTCCCACAAACAAATGTCATAAACACTAAGACCTGGCAATTACATTCCTTATCTCATTTTGGAGAGCTTCAGCAGTGTGAGGTGTGTTGATGTACACTTTTCTGTTTAGGTTCTCCCACAAACAAATGTCATAAACACTAAGACCTGGCAATTACATTCCTTATCTCATTTTGGAGAGCTTCAGCAGTGTGAGGTGTGTTGATGTACACTTTTCTGTTTAGGTTCTCCCACAAACAAATGTCACAAACACTAAGATCTGGCAATCTTGGAGACCACAATCCTGTGCTAATGATCTTGTCATTGAACATCTCTTGAAATGCCATACTGTCTTTCATCATCAGTCACCTGTTCCAAAAATTGGTTCCAATATACTTCTAATGTATCGGGCAAAGTTCACACCTTTGTGGTAAAATAATGGAACGATGATACACCTACAGCAGACACGTCCAACTTCAAACAGGTTGTGATCGACTTTTTAGTGTCAAAACTGCCAGTGATCTACCACCCCTTCCTATCGTCGAACTTCGCCTTATGCAAAAATATTGGTAAAAATAACATGACACATTATGTTTGTTGTAAAAGCAACATACATGGGTTGGATAAAAGGTAGTGGCAACACCTCTATAGTTCTGAAATGACTTTATTACCTGAGGTAAACACACTTACATTCCTTCAATATAATCGCCCCCCATTTGTACCACCTTCTGCCAAATTTGGGGAAGACATCGTACCCCATCAGTGCGTCCACTTCCGTTGATGTCCAGCAGTGACTGCCCTACAGCACGAATAATCTCCTCTCGTGTTGTAACGTGTCCCTCGCAGTGGTTCTTTCTGTGTGTGTATTTCTGTTACTCCAGATTTGTGTGCTCTGAGAACTTACAAAACTGCTCAGGCGAAAATATGCTTCATCAATTTGAGCAACAGCTGAGGATCTACGTGTCCATCGTTCACATTTTTCAGCAACCAATTACAAAACCAAATCCTTGTGGAGCATCATGATGTTTACACTCATGCACAACTGTAACTCCATGTGGCAAAAAAAAAGTGGGGGGGACGCTATCCCTGTAACAGACTGTGGAGGCCAATAGGGTTGTGAGGCATTGAGGCTCCCAAATTTTTTAGACAATCGGATCACAGACGGCAGTCAGGTTGTCAGCCTTACACACCAGCTGCCCTTTACCCCCAGGAAGATTCCTGGTACTCATTTATGTTAAGAGACTGAATTGACCCCAGGGCCACAGTGCAACTAGGATTAGGTCACATAAAAAATCCAATGACCTCATCACAAATGAAACCCAGGACCACCCACCTTGTAGCACAGAGGAGGGCTTACAGAAATATCTGTCTCTTGTCATAATTGTCTTTGAGAAATCCGAGGGCTAATCTGCAACTAAAAGCCTTAATATTTTCTAAGCTTATAACCTGTGAGCACTGTTTTCTTGCAATAATGTGCTTTTTCAAGCACTGGCCCTGTTGTCCACCACTTCTTAATAATTTTAAACATGCAAGATTTTGTAGTCATGGGTGAATCAGGATGTGGATGATTCTTTAACTGCATTTCATATAAGTTCTCTTTCATAAGCATGTTTCAACAATAAATAAATATTCTTAGATTAGTAGTGTACAGATTACAAAGAAAAAGATAAACTCTTGAACTGAGCATGTAAGTAGAACTTCTTCCTTATTGCTTACATAACTGACTGGAGCTAGAGGAGAGGATGAGGGGTAAGGATAAATAAGTACCCAGCCTAGCTGAGGCATTGTCATGTTTCCACTTATTCTGAGTGTCATGTAATTGTATACATAAGATGCAATTGATAATTTTAAAAGACTTACAGAAATCTGTTTTTCCCCAGCCTGCTATTTGATATTTTGTCTCTTCTTCTCCTGTTATATTTATACCAAATGGCAAACATATTGGCCTTATATAATCTGTGAAACAAAACAATTAATTAAACGTATGAGTAATATATGCTGTGTTTTGTGTGTGACATTAAATAGCCTGTCTCTTCGTTTGAGCAAAATTCAGGAATAACATTCTTCATGTATTCACAACCCAACCATAACATCAAATTTAGAAAAAATGCAAAATACAGGTTTCAAGACAACTTTATAAACAAGAATTTTTCATGAAATTGAAGAAAAATGATAACAGAAAGACTACTGTTTGGAGATCCACTGACTGACAGAATTAGTACTACCTACAGCCAACACATGCAGAACTCTATCAAAATGCTGTATTGCCACAATTACATGCAGCAGCATTCTGATTTTATTATGTAGACAACTGTACCATTATATGTAATTTAAATTACTATGACACCCCTATACACAAAGTCCTACATTTCATTCAAAGTGCAGGATTGATAAATGGGTAACCAGAAGGGGAAGCACAGTACATCACTCAAGGTCACAGTGCAAGGGCAGGATAATTGTGAGTAAAGTGGCCAGGACATGAAGCTGACTGCTCAACTCCAACTAGTGCCAAGGTCATGAATGGCGAAGCTATACATCCACTAGCCCATATGTCTTAACACCATAGGGCTTGACTAATTAAGCACAGGGACAACTTTACCATTTTTATTATACTTGTACTGTTCAGTGTCAAACACACAGACCACTGGCCCTCAGATAAGCAACTATATATTCACTGAATTGTAAATCACTAACATAAGATTAAGGCCATGGTGCTGCCATACCTGTATACTGAGGAACTTTAGTATGAAGCCGGATTAATGCAATATCATTCTTGAGATTATGAATATCAAACTCTTTATGGGAAACAGCCATTTCCACTTGATAATCTTGCACGGGATCTGAGCAATAGTCTTCACAATCCTCCACAGTGTCTAGGTTATGTTCACCAAGACGAATGATCTCTCTGAAACAAGGCAATCAATCTATTCTGATCAACATTCTAAAATGAATGTTATTAGTGCCTGTCTTCCTCTACACACAGCCAAACTTCACAGTACCCTTTCACCACACTGCACATAAATAAACTGACTTGGAACAGAAAGCCTTCTACCACAGATGCAGTTCACTGCATGCTCCATACATTTATCTTGAAGATTATACACAAATGCCTCTTTACAATGTAATCCCCAAAACACATAAAAAGTATCTAAATCTGCTTAAGAAACACGTGCAATGGTAATGCCTTTCCTAACACAGGTGCTATTAGAGTTGAAGTTAGTTGAATTTGTGATAACATAAATGTATAGTAAGTAAAAAGTAAAGGTATCCCTGTAACAGGCTGTGGAGGCCCATAGGGTTGTGAGATGTTGAGGTTCTCACATTTACTAGACAATCGGCTCATAGATGGTGGCAAGGTTGTCAGCCTTACGCACCGGCCATTTACCCTCCCAAGAATATTCCTGGTAATCATTTCTGTTAGAGGCTGAGTCAACCCCAGGGGCCATAGTGCAGCTGGACAGATTAGGTCAATTGAAAAAATCCAAACCTCACTGGGACTTGAACCCGAGACCTTCTGGCTTGATAGTGCCTCAACCAACTATGCTATGGCGTGCCCCCACATTACTGTATATCTATCTGAAATCGTTCCCCCATTAATATGATATTTTGCCATAAAACCTCCCACAGAAGAACTAAAGTGAAAACATGCTGTTTTCAATATGCACTGGGTTCTTTATCATGAAACTGGCACACCCCATTCCCAACAAAGTAAGGAAAACGGGATTTATTCCAATTGAATGGCTGGTATCTTACAGAGTTGCATTCACTATGTGCAGGCAATGTGCAGCTGTCAATATGTACTGATCACTGATGAGGGTTCCTCCACAGATAAAACGCAGACCACCATTACTCACTGAAATACAGAAACACAGACTCAAAGCATGTCACCTATAAGAAAGCTAAATATATTTCTTTTATTGTTAGCATTCTGTTGCATGAATTACAACAAACAAGATATTAAGACGTTTTAAATGACTGGCTGTCAATGCAAAAAATGTTTTTCTTGATTCATTTGAAATCAACACTACATATGAGTATTTCACCATTAATCACTGACTTATAATGCATGGTCTTATATCAGCAACTATTTATATTGAACTTGAGGGCCGTGCCATAGCTCAAGCGGTTAGTCACTGATTTCCCACCGCGGTGGCCCAGTTTCGATCCCGGGTCTGGTCAAGTGGGATTTGTGGTGGACAAAGTGGCACTGGGGCAGGTTTTCTCCGAGTACTTCGATTTCCCCCACCAATCTTCATTCCATCAATTGCTCCACAATTACCCTCACCTATCATCTGGGGCTGGTACAACAGGCCAGAAGTGGCCACAGTACAAGGGACTTGGTCCCACCTCACTAGCAATAAAAAAAAATAATACATTCAACTTGTGATGTATAAACATGTTCCTGGTTCATTTATGTAATATATGAAGTAAAACAGACACCTAATGGCATACAACTATATCTTATGGATACTTCTTATTATTTAATTACATTCAAATTTAACTGCACTGAAATTAAGATACAAATTTCCATTACAAATTAAAATTAACTTCAAATAATTTAATTCTGTCATTGGGAACAGCAGACACCTTCATGTATCATGTTTAAAAGGTGTTAATATACTGTTGGTTAAATATCATGGTACATCCAAAATTAAGAGCAGACTGTATTGTCATAATAGGTTTCAGCATTCAATGGCACAATCAACATAAAGTCAAAATTTTCCATTTCTATTTTCTCACACTGCACTCTGTTCTAGTTACATTTCTTTTATAAGATGGTGGTGGAAGTGAGTCTTGATGATTTCTAGCTTACATATTGGCTAATTATTGGTGTTAATTCTGTTTGTGGGTTGTTACACTGTTTGGTCCTGGGCAACGTCGCCAAAGTTGCAGAGGCACATGCTGCCTCCATCTTTAGAATTGATGTGTGACACTGAAGATGGTGGCATCATGTACCTATGGGGCATCTGTAACATCAGTCACAACCACATGGTGTAACACGACAAGAACAGAATTGACATCAGTCTTAGTTTACTTGTTTGGATAAGAGTTCTGCATTTGTATTAATATTAACGTACTTAATTTTTATTATCATTACCTTCCATATACAGAAGTGATTCAGTTATATTCAAGAGTGTTTAAGTGTAACAATGAAATGAAATAAAGTATTGTGTTCAATAAAGGATGCATGCATGTTTATAAAGCATTTATCCTGGAATAAATAACACTGATAATATCCTAAATTTGCAGTTATTATGAGCCCTGGACCAGATCCTTCAGTTCTTCTTGAGAAAAGAACAGGACTACTTCAGAAGCTGATTGTTGGTCATCTGGTTAACAAATTACTCACCTTTCATGAATCCCAAGGAAACACTGTTACATTCATAACAGCCCACTGCTGGAACTTATTCTGAGCCAGTTAAACCCATTCATAATCCACAGATTCCACTTCCTCCTTTCTTATTAAATTATTAAAATCTGTTAAATGTTAATGAAAGGTAAAGCTGTCCCTGCAACAGGCCATGAAGGCCCATAGGGGCATGGGAGGGTGAAGGCTCCCACATCTTCCAGACAGTCAGCTCATAAATGGAGGTAAGGCTGTCAGCCTTACACGCTGGCCACCCTTTACCCCCAAGGAAATTTCCTGGTACTCATTTCTCTAAGAGGCTGAGTCAACCACAGGGCTATGGTGTGATTGGAAGGATTAGGTCAACTGTAAAATCCAATGATCTCATCGGGGTTCAATTCCACAATCTTCTGGCTCGTAGCACAATGCCTCAACCAACTATGCTCCCATGGGTTTATTTTACTAACTTTCCTTGAATTTCAATTTGTATGTCACCATCATATTGAAGATCATTTCCCAGAATCTGATGAATCCAGTCCACACCCATATATCCTATTTCCTTAAGATCCATCTTAACATTATCCTCAAATTTATGCCTACCTCTATGAAACAGTTTCTTCCTTCAGATTTTATGATCAACATTTTCTGTCCATTTCTTATTTCTTCTATGTATATTACATGCCCTGCCCATACAGTAGTCCTGGTGCTGGATGAAAAGAAGGAAAGAAAAAGATTGACTGAAGATACTGGAAGACATTTCTGATTCATTAGACCAGCCCCCCACATTTATTGGGCCATTTGGCTGTAAAATGTCATGTGTCAGAAACTAAGCTCCCACTGGAATAAAACTGTTAATGCCATACTCCTACAAAACTAGTCTTACAGTCACAGAGTCAAGACAACAGTTTGTTTTCTGCATACAAATAGTATCAAAACATAAGCCCTGTTTAGATGCAGAGAACTGATGCAACAGTGAACCTCTTCTGTAAAACAAGGTAATTTAAATAGCATGGAAACAGTGCAAAGTGATGCGTCAGCAAAGGAATTCTATCGCTATGTGAAAAGTTGTTGACACTGAAATTTCATTTCTTACATTATTCTAAAGATTGTATGATACAACATTTAAGTTCCAATTTTATGCAAATGAATCTTCTTCCCTGTACAAGTCAACTTTTGTACTAGGATAGCTTATATAGTTAAAAGTTCTGAACCAACGTACATAAGTCACAACTAATAATGTTCCCGTTCTATACGAACCCAATATTGAAAGTGGTGTTAAATAACCTACAAATAAACTGCAGTGGTGTGTATATATGTTAACCGTTTATTTGCCTGATGATGGCTATTGATAGCCGAAACTAGGCACTGATCTTTATATTTGTTGTGTTGTGATGATTGTTATAAAGAGGTTGTATATTGTAACACAACAGGATGAATGAAATGAAAAACATATACTTAGTTTTCTCTGTGTTTACTTCTAGCCCAACCTCCTTACTTGCGTCAATTAAAGTTTATGTTTTTCTCTATGGTATCTATATTATCACCCGGCAGACTCACATCATCAGCACAGACCAGCAGCTGATGTTTCCCATTTAATTTCAGTCCCACCTGGTTTTCCTTCACCTTCCTAAAGGCATATTCTGAAGCAAAGTTGAAAAGGAGTGGCGATAAAGCATCTCCTTGTCTCAGACCATTCTGGATAGGAAATTTATCAGACAACTGTTTACCTATATGGACTTTACTATACGTTTCATTTAATCAATTTTAATTTGGGTACCCCAAACTCTATCAGAATATTGTATAATACTTCCCTCCTAACTGAATCATAGGCTTTCTTGAAGTTTCAAAATAGCTGATGTACTGCCTCATTGTACTCCCATTTTTTCTCCAATATCTGATGAATGCAAATGATCTGATTTATAGTTGATATGTTATGTCAAAACCCACACTGATGATCCCCAATAATTTCATCTCTGTATGGACTTAACCTTGAGAGAAGAATATTGGATAAGATTTTGTATGAAGTTGATAGCAGTGATATCCCCCGATAATTACTAGTCAGTTTTATCACCTTTCTTGGTTATCTATAGCCTACATAATACATTCTGATGAACATTACATCTAGAACCCAGGAGTGCCATCCATGGAAACTGTCCAAATGTTGCATTATGTCCACTGGATATTTTTGATGCACTTGTCAAGCCACACTTTTCATTGGGCAGCAGATCCATATTTGACTTTTCACGTGTTCGAGGTGATAACGGACAGCATACTTTTTGCTTTCCATAATTGCACCTGAAGAGAATGTCACTTTCATTCTGCTGCCAACTCCTCAGCTGGGCTGAACATTCCGCTAGGGACATGCAGGACATCCCATCTACACAACCTGAGTCTTCTTCTTTAGCAGAGGTAGTCTGCATAGCTGAATTCAAACAGAGACCAAATGTCAATGCAATGAAAATGTTGTCCTTTTTAATTCTTATGTACAACAATCTCCTTATTACTCTCAAACATGTACTGCTGTATTAAGTGTGATGAATATACATTACCTAATTTGAAGAATACAGATAACAAAAGCAGAAAATCAGTGACATCCATTTTTAGTCATGAAGCCTGAAAATAATAAAAAATATTTAGCATTATGTAAATTGAAAGTACGACATAATAATTCCTCAACTTATGAAGAGGTACTTGAAAAATGAATGTCCATTTTCAGTTTGATTAACAAAATTCTAATATAACAAAAATATGACAAACAAACTGACATCATTATCGCTCAGCTGCACACTCACTGTGGTTTTACTGTATTCCTTGATGTACTGACATAATTTTTGTTTTATTTAAAAATATCTCACCCTGTTATGACTTCCATAGACTCATCTAGAAGTGGGTGTTTCATCAGCTGTCAATATACAATACTGGTACTCTGTTTCCTTTCTCTATCTTTTTATTCTATTCCTTTTGTTTTTTACATTATGTGGGTGTTTTTTCTTATTTTGCATAATGGGGAACTTCATGGTCTGCACCCTTTATCAAATATTATTAGGGTGATGAAATCAGGGAAGATGAGATAAATAGAGCTAATAGAACATGTGGAAGAGATGAGAAATAGACAACATTTTGGTCAGAGAACCTGGGGGGGGGCACTTGAAAGGGATAGCCATAGATTTGAAGAAAACATTATTATGGATATTAAGGAAATGGGTTGTAAGGGTGTGGGCTAAGTACAAGAAATTCCCTATCTTTCATGGACCCTGAAGGATCATTATCTACCATATGAAGAACCCATACTATACACTATCCTAAGCCAGTTTTAATTCCAGTCCACACTCCCACATTTTGTATCAGTAAGATCTGTTTACATACTTACCTACCAGCAATGTCTCGGTTCCCTGTGTAATTCCATTTTTGGATGGTTTTCGACTAAAATTTTAAGTGCATATCTCTTTTCCTCCTACATGCGCCAAGTAATTAGATAAAGTACAGTGTCAACCCAGAGGCAACTTCACATTTTATACATTCTGTCGGTCCATGTACATTGACAAAAAATATGCCGCTGAGAGATGACAGAACAAATGTTTATATCTAATGTTTATTGTAAGAAGTAAAGGGTAAAGGGTAAAGGCAGTAAAATATTGATATGTTAGGTTTTTGGACTTTATCCATCGTCCTGGATTTTAAGATAAAAAATAAAAACACGACGTTTCGGAAACTGGATCTGTTTCCGTCCTCAGGTGAAGGAAAACCCTATTCAGTTGGGTCCGTTAGAAAGAGCTAGCCTCAATCACTGGAATCACCATCGTCAGAATCCTATAGTAACTAGCAGTAAAATATGTTACGTACAAAATATTATGGAAACTTGGGTAGCTATTGCCTACTATTACAAGAGCGACTCTGTACAATATGTAGTGGTACAAGATGTAGCATAAACTAATCATCATTTGGAGATTATTAGATTTATTTTCAATGTAATGGGAACCAAAATCTTAATCCCAGTGTTCTTACTGAACCCTTCCTCTTCCTCCGTACGGTAACCTGCTTAAGGCGTAACGTAACCTCAATGATATTTATACAAAGAATACAAATTTTAGCCCGACTTACTTCAGAGCTTACGTTTGTCTGAACATGCTTTACCTGTTCCTAGTTATAAAGCCGTGAATGGTACACAACACATTTGCCACACATCCAGTGCAGGGCTGTTTTCAAAACACGTTAACACCGGTCAGGATACGCACGATACCACATCGCTGGCGAACGGACTTCCCCACGTACGTTCCGACATGAAGGACATGAAAGCAAACTGTAAGCTGTTTTGCCTTGCCTTCTCAAGCTGTAACTGGCTTAACCTTGGCGAAAATGGCCTTCACCATTGTGATGGTAATATCAACATGCTACCGTGAATCCCCTCAACCGTCTAACTTTTATGGAACTGATGACAATATATTAAGACGCTACCGTGAATTTCCTCAACTGTCTCATTTTTACGGGACTAATGACAATATCAACGTGTTATGAATTGCCTCAAGTGTGTAAGTTTTATGGAACATCTTGTCGCTCATTCTTATTTACCAATACCAGGCATCGTACTAGGAAGGACGCTGCTAATGATGTGACTACATGGATGTTCGCTCATGTAGACCAGCAGTTGCCGAAATTACTGAATGCTGGAGGGTGTGTGACGATACTCAGAAGTTCGGGAGCTGCAAACGAAAGTGGTTTGGTTCTAGTGCCGGATTTACATACAAGCTAAATAAGGTACTGCAAAAGGGGGCGGGGCGTCGCCATCTGGGGGACCTCGAAAACACCGAGGAGAAAAATCACTCACGAACCAACACAACATTCTGTCAATAAATTGAGAAGACATCAAGAGAATGATGGAACCAGGCCTAAACCGGTCCTTGCACCGCGACGTTCAATGGTCTATTGTGCACCCCACCTCTGTTTGAACCCTTCAAAACCCAACACTTCGTAGTCATCTGGCTATGGCCTCACAGTCACATAGGATGTATGGCCGATTCATCTTTTTTCTAGGTAATTTTCTGAAATGGGGCTATCATTCTATCCTATATTGAAGACGTGTCCTTTCAGGTGACAGTGTCATGTGATTTGTCCTGTCATCCACGGTAACTGATTTCTGTTTAGTTTTAATAGCTCCTTGGTTCTTCTGACAGGGGGTCCTTGTAGGAACCTCTTTGCCTGTTTGAGTCCTGTTGAGGACTCCCAGTATTTTATGGTCTCTTTTTATCCAGTCCCTGACAGCTTTCTTGGCAATTCTTGCTGAAATGCCGCAAGCTGGTTCAGGTCCTACGAAAGGACATTCTGATTCCAATGTTGCCAGTTGGTCGGGAGTATCATTGCCTTCAATAAACTTGTGACCCAGTACCAATATCAGTTGAACTCTGTTATGTTCAGTCAGTTTCAGGACGGATTGTTGGCACTCCTAAACCAGTTTTGAGCTGATCTGGTAATTGTCGTAGTTTAATTGCAGCTTGACAGTCTGATAGAACACAGTTCTTCCTATTTTTATAGTCCATATCCAGATCCTCGGCTGCGCATGCCTTGATGTTTTACTCTTCTGCCTGGAACACTACTGTGTTCTATTTCCCATTGCTGAAGCTGAGCTTCTGCCTTGTACCATGACCATACACACCAGCCCCAGTGCCCTTGTTTGTCTTGGAATCATACTCCATCAGCTTTATTTCATCGTCACGATCAAGCATTCACCAATCATTACAGAAAGAAAACAAAACAGGTATGTCACAGAAATACAAATTGCTACTGCGATGGAAACGTATTGACTATCCCAAGAGCAGGGCCTAATTTAAGGAGTGATTAGGGCGGTCGCCTCGATTCCTCCACAATTCACAGACTTTACTGAGGCATTTGTTTCTCTGAAATCACAAAACGTTTGTTTCTATTTTTCGTTATTATAAAAAATAAAAAATCGTAACCTAAATCTGTTGTTACTAACAGGGGCCTCCACATTTTGACTGTCCCGGGGCTCCCTCAGCTGTTAATCCATGTCAGAGAGCAGACGCTGAAGTACAAGCAAGCGACATCATGCGAAGTGAAACGCTGTTGTAGCAGTGAACGTCGGACGCTGCGCCCCACAGTTTTACTGCATTAACAGAATTATTTCATGGGCAGGATCTGAAGTATATTCGAGTACAGGATGGCGAGGAGAATATTTGAACCGAAGAGAGATGAAGTGACAGGAGGTTGGAGAAAACTACGTAATGAGGAGCTTCATAACTTGTACTCTCCAAGTATAATCAGATATCGATTAAGTCAAGGATGATGAAATGGGCATGGCATGTAGCACGAATGGGGAGAAGGGGAATGCATATAGGATATTGGTGTGAAAACCAGGAGGAAACAACCACTAGGAAGACCAAGATGTAGATGGGTGGGTAATATTAAAATGGATCGTATAGAAATAGGATGGGATGGGATGACCTCGATTGATGGTTCAGGAGTGGTTCTTGCGAGTAACGAAATCTCCTCACAACAATTTTAATGGAAGCCTTAAAAAGATTTTATGTTTTACTGTGTACGATATCGTCATAAAATTGTTATTTACAGAGCACTACAGGTTATCTCACAAAGACATACATAACATCAGAAACAGATATGTCTTGCGGTTTCCTGTTTCAAAGTAACGACAAATGTCTCGTAATCAGGAAGTCCTCAGATTTGGATCCGCAAGTGGTTTATGATTTCCTCTTCCATCCCCGGCTTCTCCTAGCTTACTTTCCTTATTTTGAAAAAAAGAAATATTGCCTTTTGAAATCATCTTGCTCTATATATCTGTCTTATGTGTATAATGCTCCCCCCCCTTAACAACTTCTGAACGCCTGAACCGATCTTAATGGAAACTACAACGCACAACATGACACATGAGGCCATCTTAACTGCATATTTCACAAATTCCACTCATCGGTAATAACAACACTGCAGCCTCACAAGCACTTAAGGTAAACAACTTTAATATCACTTAATGCCTGAACCGGTCATCATAAAACTTCCTTTGTATATCATGCCACCTCAGGTCACCTCAACAGCGCACTCTCCCATCTGTACTACTAACACAGCAGCCTCTCAAATTGTACTGTTTTATTGACTTCATTATGCATACATACTGAAGATTTTTTTCTCTTATTGTCATATCTCATTCAAATTGAATTGAAAGGAAAGTAGGACATTACTTCTTCCTAGAATGCCTAGCTATATTTTCATTCCATCTGCGTATGCGTGTCCCAAGTGATCTCTTCCAGTCAGATTTCCCAGCTAAATTCATGTATGTACTTCTCATTTTCATCTTACGTTCTACATGTCTGAACCATCTCATACTCTCCCATCTGGTTGACACAATATTATCGGTTTATGCAAGCCTAAGTACTTTAATAGTATGCTTCAGTCTTAAAAGATTGTAGTCAATCTGGAATTATCTCTCTCTCGTCATACTGAAAGTTTAAAACATTTTTGGAGCTGTAAGTGGTCTGGGCTTGATATAAATAAACGAGTTGTCACGAGACTGAATTCTATAGCTAAGATACTGCATCAGCTTCGTCAGCACATAGTGAGACTGCATTTCGGCGCATTTATGGTGCATTTTAGCGAACCACTGATCTAAATAGAGCTTTTCCACACAGCCACACACCAGACAAAGGGTTCTCTTAGATGGGCCACAAACTCTAGCGGAAAATGAGCCAAAGATATGTTACCTCAATCGTTGTCTGCCCGTGCGCATTACGTACGTATCATGGCTTCAGCAACTGTACACGTGTTGTACGTTGACAGCTAAACAGTCACTGCAATTACAAAATTATCATCCGAGCCACGAACTCGTATCCTAGTATTTGAAAGATATTAAGAAGTAAACACTATCTAAATACACGTGCTAGTTCACTAAATAACTGACTGCATGTGGCAGGATCTTCTTCGAGCAATTAGGCAAGAAAATCCTCGCCGTCAAAGCAGATCTCAGAGGAACGAGGAAGTAGAACGCGAGGTTGTGGGCTCGATTTTCCTTGTTCAGGCTAGGGTCCAGTTTCAGGCTCTTGTGAGTACGGCAATCATACTAGGGTTACCATAAAGGGCTGGAAATTTCTTTACCAGCTGGATATCTATCAACTCTAAAGACAAACAGCACCATGGAGTAAGGTTTAACTCATATATAGACAAATTTCGTGACCAATTGAAGTAAACTTGTCTTTACTCTGGTGCATTTTTGAGGCCTCAGGTTTTGGAATCATATCTTATTATATTTAACAGTATTAAAGTCAATCTACTCTACAAACAAGGTTACATCATACTTTGTGTAGGCAAACTTACGGAAGAAAATCCCTTTGTAATCATGCTTGAATTTCCCACTTGCCTATGAATACCAGATGTGCGTTGAAAATACAACACAGTATTATTCTAATGGTGGCGTAAATGTCTACGTCACTGACTGAAGATGAAGCATTATCGTTCCCACTGTGGATGGAGTTTGTATCGACTTCATAAATTATATAATGTCAAATAGCAGGTAAATTCGGAAGGACGTAGAACGAAATAGAAGTAGCTTAATTTAAGTGCTAGGAAGAAGTGAGGAAATTATCTGCCCCCGGCAATACTTGAGATACGGAGCAGTGGTGCGAATAATTACACAGCGCCTAAAGGGAGACAGAAAAAGAAAGAAACAAAGCGTGAAATGAAGATGATTTAAAACAAATGACGTTTCCAGTCGCGTAAGAGATTCGAGAGAAGACTCAAGATGCTCAATATGAAACGACAAATTAACACGGCCTATCTTGCTGAAGCGGAAAAGACTTACACGAAGGACGTGTGACAGTGTTTGGTTTAATTCACTGGGACTCACAACTGTACAGCGCTGTGGCGATGATGGTACTACCAAGAAGCACTTTAGGATGCCTGGTGTGCTTGCTGGGTTCTGTTGCCTTGGGATATAGACCCTTCTATGGGGACGCACAATGTGAGTAAGGTCATGTTAGAGAAATACACTCGAGTTGTCAAAGAGTACTAACAGCTGACCCCCTAGATTCATTGAGACCCTTATTTTTTGGAAATGTTGCTTGCTGTAATCTTCCTTCGCATAATATTATACTTCAGCATCCTACTGCATTGTGGCTTCATTTTTAGATCGTGAATATATTGTCTATAATGCAACAATAACCTTACATAAAATACACTAAAATATATATAATACACTAAAAGTGCTTCTTAAAAACTTTAAACTGTCATTAAACTTGTACACTCATTCCTTGTTGCAACATGTTTCGGCACACATGGGCCATCATCAGGCAACATTTCTGTTATTGGGAAGATCATTTCACTGTACACTTTACTTCTGTGCCCTTAGGCACATCGTTGTTTTGTTATTAGTTTCTTTCGTAGAATACCTCAATTTATCCTTTCTGGCGACTATTTCAGTGTTTTTATGTCGTTTACTTTGTTGTGTATGCTTTTAGTGTTGTCTCCTTCGCATGTTAGAACTGGAACATAACATTACACATTCTAAATTCTTCAATCTCCTGGGTTTTAACGCCGTGAATTCCGGAGAAAACCCCGAAATTTCGGAGCAACATATCGCCTCAATCTTCAGGCTCGAAGAATAAGACACGCAAGAACTAGCAGAAACAGGCCGCAAGCGAACTGAACTTGCCGTTGTCTGAAGGTTCCTAAATGACTAGGAACATACCACATTCTTGAGCCCTATGTTCTGAGTTGTTTGCAGAAAGCGTATAAAATTAACACATAATTGGAGAGTTGCTTCTGTCGGTTTATACACTTCGTCTCCGAAATTAAGAGCAAAACGTCGATTAAATTTTATATAACAGGTTTGTTCGAAAAATTGTTTGGAGAATTGAGTTTTAATTCTCATTCCACAAAATGCTCCAGATTTATCATAATTCTATTGCCGACGCTCTATAATCTCGATACTGATGGCGCCGTTAAGTAATGAACTTCAAAACAAAGTTCATATCAGTCCATTGTAGGTATATTTCATTACGTTACTTGAAACTAAATCAGTTTTCTCAGAAGTCACAAATATTTTTACTTGACACCAAACTGCACCTCGTTGTCATCTACAACTTGTGTTCGAAATAATTTTATGTATCGTGAATAATTACGGAAACACGGGGAAATATAAACAATGACCACAATAGACCTGTTATGATATCGCTAATGTGAATAATCTTTATATATTTCTGTTGGTAAATCTGAGACCTGACGCTGCAGTACATAACGCGAATTTAAAATTTTATATCTGAACTCTCTTTGTACCCTTCCCCTAATAACTGTTCCACCAAGTAGCTAACTAACTAATTGAATAACTAATCGACAGATTAAGCGAATAATTGACTAATTTCATGCATATAATCTATTTAAATTTGAGAGTTATTCGGTTGGTCAAGATATTCCAAGCACTTAAGGGACCTAGAAGAAAACTAACTTTCTCAGTCTGTGACCAGCTAATTGATGGCTTCAGGGAGAAGCCCCAAACTTTGTGATAATGCGCTGCCTAATCAGGGCTGTCGCACACCCCATGGGGAGACGATAGAAGAGTATGGGGGCAATGGTGGGATGATAATCAGCAGGGGAATATCCAAGAAATTAAGAGAAAATCCCGCTCACATATTGCCAGTTTGTCCACCATGAATTTCATACGAAATCACAAGGAACTGAATTCGACGTAGGGAGAAGGCAGCGCCTAACTGCTTGAGGTGTAGAACATGAAAGTTTATTATCACGTTCATTTAAGCATGTCATTGGACACTATCCTGATCTAGAGCCATTTTAATATTTTCATTTTATCTATGCCCAAGACTCCCGAGGAGTGTCAACTTCAAAATGCGTGCTACATGTCTTGTTAATCTCAGCTTCTTTTTTAATCAACTCAATCTTGGTTGGTGAAAAGCAAAATTTATTAAGTTGCGCGTTGTGTTTCTTCTCCACCCTCCTGTTACTTCTACTCGTACCTTAGGTATACGATATTTACCTCAGCATCCTGTAAGTAAAGTAAAACCTGTTACAGGCCACGAAGGCCCATAGGGTTGTGAGACGTTGAGGGTCCCACATTATCTAGACAATCGGCTCAAAGATGGCGGTAAGGTTGTCAGCCTTACGCGCCGGCCGCGCTTTACTCCCCAGGAAAATTATTTAATTAATTCCTGGTACTCATTTCTGTTAGAGGCTGAGTGACCCCAGGGCCATAGTGCGGACGGAAGGATTAGGTCAATTGAAATTAATCGGTAATTGAACCCGCGACCTTCCGACTTGTAGCATAGTGCCTTAATCTCTACGCCACCGCGTGCCCAGCATACTGTTCTAAAATGTATTTGCACTACGTTCCTCCGTTAGGGAAACAGACCAAGTTTCATACCCATATGTAACAGTTAACAATACAACTTCTTATAGCAAGAGCATAATCTCATGCCTATTTCGTACCAAGGAATCTCTCTGAAACCGAGGCCTTTTGTGACTTTTATTACATGCTAGTTTTAAGATATAGTTATGCCGAAACTTACATTATTTTGGTGACAGCCGTCGGATATGGACACTGTCTCCCCAAAGGATTACAATGCGTGAACTTGCCACAGTGTCCTCTGATTGGGCGACAGGTGCATCATTCATCTAACCTTCTCCTAGCCATGGCAAAACTTAACGTGTATATATGTGGGTTTAAACGTGGAACTGTTCAAGTGTGCTGCCCCAAACACACTCTGATTCACCCCACGTCCAAACCACGAGTCACAGGAATGCAACCGGATACTTCTCTAGTCCGACACAGGAACTTCAACCTGATCAACAGGAACTGTGGCATAGGGCTGACGGACCGCATTTCGGGCGGACAGAACGCTTCGCCCGGCGAGTTCCCTTGGTTGGCAATCCTTCTGTACAATGGTAAGCACATACACGTATCTCCGGATATAATCCTCAAATGGTGATTTACTGACATGTAGACGTGGCCAAACTGTGCCTGTGAAGTCGCATACGGCTCTTTGGAGCAGTTATTGTGTCTGGATGAAAAAGATATTAGTCAGTTACTTTTCTTATAGATGGATTAAATTTACCTTACTTGCAAGTGTGAGATTTCCGAACGTGTTTCGTCCCAAGTTACATTTAATTCCCTAACTTCAAACCCAGTTTTCCAGAAAATTGGTGTTGATAGACACAGTACACTCCACTGCTCAAGAGACGAAATGTAAAGTAAAGGTTGAAGTGTCTAAATGCAGCGCACAAGTACGTAAGTATGTCCATGTGAGTTGCTGACCTCATGGTTACGCTGTTGTTGCAGTGTCCGGCGAGCTGCAGTACCTGTGTGGCGGGTCCCTCATCACAGACATGTACGTCTTGACTGCAGCTCACTGTATCACACCCACCATCAACAACCCCTCAATGAAACTGTAAGCTCATATGATTAGAAACTCATTCTGAATATCTGAACATCTAACGATATATCTAAAGGAATTATTTTCGACTCGAAGCAAATTCGTAGATCTGTTGCACGAGGCAGAAAGAAGTTCCTGCTAGAATTTGGTTCAGATTTTGAAGGCTATATACAGGACATTTCATTTAGCAGTGCTGGTCTCCATGATTTAGACTTATGCGGTATTTGTAAAACCAATGAAATATGTTCCGCCATTGCTCAACTACTGACGCTAACTATTCGATATCTTCTGTAATGTAAATTAAATTATATGCAAACCTGCCGACAGATGAAAGTTCCTTTAAATACATTCTAGAATGTATAGGCTACAAACTATATATGTGTAAATGTATAAATATATATTATATACGTACATACCTAGTACTCACCAGATATTTTAGCGCGCATAGCCGTTTCTAGGAAACGATTATAAAGAAAGAGGTTACCGCGGCAACAATCCGCGCGCAACAATGGAAGTAATCTCGGGAACGGGGCTTCGTGCGGTGGTCCGTTCTGTAGGGTTATAAGGAAGATAACTGGAACAAGAATAGGCACTTGGATGGGAGCTGCCATAGGACTTGAACACGGAAGCAGAGAAATAGCCATTGTTGGAGTCGTTACCAGTAGACGTCCAGCAGAGACCCTAAGAGACTGAGAACACTACCCTGTGTGCTCTACTGTATAAAGTGCGGATGTTAGCGATGGCGCTAAAATTAAGTGTAATTACGAGTTGTATGTTAAAGTGGTCAATAAACCCAATATCCTATCCCAAACTCCGCCTAGAGTCACACATACACGTGACAAAATTTAGAATATAGACTACGAAAATCTTGCTTTATAGTTTCCATAAATTCGTGCATTTCTGCTGTTGTAAAAGCTTGTGGTGGTTACTTTCCTCACAGTTATGCAACTCCAGCTGCTGCTTAAATTACGCTGATATGTCTGAAAACCTCAAACCTGCATTTCATTGAGACACAAGATCAGACACGATATAGTTACCAGACCATATGTTAGTCGAACATACTACAAATTCTTGGGTGAAATTAAAATTTTGTTTATGAATTTTCACTCTCCTTTCCGATTCAGAATGCACAATTTTTCTATTCAAGATATAATTTATTGTTCGCCATTCACAGCCTCCAGATGTCCGAACCCCTTACTGCACATGTGTCTCTGTGTCTATGTTAGCACATTTAATGCTCACTTACGTCACAACAATGTACCATTAACTGAGAAAGAAAAAATAATAACATTTAATGATTTCACGGAGACAAAGTAATTACATTTCCTCAGGAGAGCAGCCACGTCGAATCGGGACAGAAGTTCGATGTTTGAGAGGCTGTCATCAGTATATAAAATGAGACCAACATTTATTATCCGTGATGATGGATATAGTGACGGTCTCTGGATCAATGGACTCCTACTCCGAGTTAATGTGATTTTTATGGCTAGTATTTTTGCTGATTTTATGTTATCTCCGCTTTTTCATCATCACTTAATGAATTAGACGAATCATCTACTTGCGCTTCTGTCATCGTTAAGTCTCCTTCAGCAGTTCAGTGTTGAGACTGCTTCATTTCTGCTTTTTTTTTTCTTGTTGAGAAAACCACAGGTTCCTGGCATATTATTTACTGCATATAAACTGTGATGAAAACTGGACACTAAACTGTGTATTCATTTTCGATATGAGGGACGCATAATCCAAAAACGGCATCAATTTTCGAAACAGAATACCTGTCTGGTGTCTCCTATAAGTGGGAAAAATGTTTCAGATGTTACTTTCCAGACTGCACGGAAAAGAAATTGACACTTATTGTAGAGACGAACAATTTTCGAGAAAGGTCTTACCTTTTGGGGCAAATAATATGAATAATTTCTCCCTGTGTGTATTAATGGTTTTGATCAGGGTTGGTTTGAGGCTGGGAGAGTACGACTTAAATAGCGAAGAAGATTGTTCCCTGAACAACAGCACTGTCCAATGTCCAGACGCTTCTAGAGACTACGCCCTCTCAGAAATTGTGCTACACTCAGGGTTCAAACCGCAGGACAGAATACAGTTCAAGAATGATGTCGCACTTATCCGCCTGCGGAGCAGGGTGCACTTCTCAGGTACGCATGCCAACATACAGCCCGGAGTTCTTACGTACACACTGACGTGGAGCTCTCAGGCACACCCACGGACTTCTTTCCTTCCACCATTGCATATCCTGTTCTTTCTTTCTGTCATAATGCCTTGAAGTCTAGTAGATCACGGCTTGTAATGTGGAGGGAGAACTGAGAAGAAACACGATAAAAGTGAGTCAAAGTTAAATCACCGTGGCGATTTATCAGAGACGACAACGTGAATGAGGTATGCTGCACGGTGAGAAAAGCCATCATCACCATCGGCCTTCAGAGACATATCCGTACGTTCTCAAAAGCTGCTTAAATTTGTTTCCATGGTCTCAACCCCTGACAGAAACGTCAAACTGTATAATCAGTTGCAGCAAAACCGAAATGTGTACACACATTCATGCACCAGATGTTCTGAAAAGCATCAGAAATATATTTAAGTTATTATCAGGCTTCGAAGCAATCTTGAGGTTCATTTTCATTTCTCCTTCCTTCTTATTATCCTAAAACAATGATTTATTATGTTTTTTAGGTCATTCGATTTTTTTCAATTGACCTAATCCTTCCAGCCGCACTATGGCCCTGGGGTTAATTCAGCCTCTAACAGAAATGAGTACCAGGAATTAATTAAATAATTTTCCTGGGGAGTGAAGCGCGGCCGGCGCGTAAGGATGACAGCCTTACCGCCATCTTTGAGCCGATTGTCTAGATAATGTGGGACCCTCAACGTCTCACAACCCTATGGGCCTACGCGGCCTGTACAGGGATAGCTTTACTTTTTTTACATGCCAGTGTTCAAAGCCCGTTATACAGCATGAAACATTCTGATCCGAATACATGTGAGAAGTGAATGTGGCCACGAATATTTCGTGCCTTACGGCGACGGCCCAAGACCAAAATGACAACTTGAACCACGGCTACTGATTGTGTCTCTTTCAGAATACGTACAACCAGTATGTCTTCCAGTCCCCGGCAGGCTGACCACGAAGAACGGCATTCTGTCTGGCCTCCAACTGACCGTTGCCGGTTGGGGAATGACCGAAAAGAGTGCGTATGGTCTTTTGTAACTAAGTACAAGTAGATGTGGCTGTAGTGAATTAGTTGGTTACAGATTTCCTACCTTTCATGAAACCCCATAGTTTAAATCTAGTCCACGATTTATTCTGACCGTCTTACAGTGCATACATTTATTCACCTTACTCTTCTCTCTTGCACTACATGTTTCAGCACTAAAGTGCCATCTTCAGGTGCTTTTGTATGTACGTCGAACTACTTCATTGCATGCAATGCAATGAAGTGCTGAAACATGTAGTGCAAGAGAGAAGAGTAAGGTGAATAAATGTATGCACTGTAAGACGGTCAGAATAAATCATGGACATAAATCAGTGCAACAGGACGCTAAAATATAACATTACTAAATCTAGTCTACACCTTCAATACTATTTCCTCAAGTTCCGATTTAATGCTATCCTCACCTAGGTCTCTTAAATGATTTCTTCCCTTCTGGATGTGTACCACGTAGATATATGTATTCCTCAGCCCCCTAAATGCGAGCTACATATCCTCCATATCTCATCCTTCGTGACCTATCGCCCTAATGAATTTCATTAGGTATAATGTGATGACACATGTTGAAATTCTTTATCATGCATTCTTTTCCTATTCGCCTCCGCTTTTCTCTCCTTGGGCCAATTATCTATATAAATAAAAATAAACTACACTAAATGTAACTGAACGAGTTGTATCTTCTGGGATACAATGCTGCTACTTGCTTTATGCTGCTTTCTTCTTTTGTTTATTCTTCAACCCTGAAGATGGAGACAATATTTTCATTCGAAACGTCGGTTGACTTACACCGGACTACACGGCTTTGTAGTCCAGAAGATAGAACTCTTCTACGTCACCTGTGTGACAACATCAATTACAACGTAAACGAAACAGAATGTAATGTTATGTTTGAGATCCTGTTACATTGAAATATCAGTCACTCATTCACTTTCGTCTTTGATGCAATTTAAAAATGTTACAATCTCCATTTCATTTAAAATAACATTAAAATCACATCAATTGTTACATGTTTCGGCCTTACTTTTCCATCTCCAGGCAATAGTTCACTTTTTGAAACAGTCGCACTGCACTAAATCGTAAGTACTGTGGAGTGTCGCCAGAAAGCCGGAATGGTTGAGGATTTCCTAGGCAACGACCAACGTTCCCACGACAGAGACTAGGAATGAGAATGCCAGCAATTCCTAACAGTGGATTTTCCACCGTTACACACGAATTGTTTGAAGCAGCGTTTCAATAGGAGCGGGCTTAATTAACTCTTCGACATGGTATTCTCTATTGGGTAGGAGTGCAGTTTATAAGACTCCAGCTTCAATAAGAGACGAGTTCAGTTTGTATTTGACCTTAAGAGTTGTAGTCAGTAGTCACTCTTCAGTTTGAATTCGACTATAGCAGGAGCCGTAATTGTGATAGTTGCGAATAAGTGTACTTGTGAATGTAGAAGTAAAAAAAAAAAAGTAAAGCTATCCCTGTAACAGGTCGTGGAGGCCCATAGGGTTGTGAGACCTTGAGGGTCC